AGGCTACCAGGCTGACTACTCCTGTATAGACTGAGTACTCATGTACTTTTACTGTTGGGAAAGGCTACCAGGCTGACTACTCCTGTATAGACTGAGTACTCATACTTTTACTGAAGGGATAGGCTACCAGGCTGAATACTCCTGTATAGACTGAGTACTCATGTACTTTTACTGAAGGGAAAGGCTACCAGGCTGAATACTCCTGTAAAGACGACTTTTACTGTTGGGAAAGGCTACCAGGCTGACTACTCCTGTATAGACTAAGTACTCATGTACTTTACTGAAGGGAATGGCTACCAGGCTGAATACTCCTGTATAGACTAAGTACTCATGTACTTTTACTGATGGGAAAGGCTACCAAGCTGACTACTCCTGTAAAGACTGAGTACTCATGTACTTTTACTGTTGGGAAAGGCTACCAGGCTGACTACTCCTGTATAGACTAAGTACTCATGTACTTTTACTGAAGGGAATGGCTACCAGGCTGAATACTCCTGTATAGACTAAGTACTCATGTACTTTTACTGATGGGAAAGGCTACCAGGCTGACTACTCCTGTAAAGACTGAGTACTCATGTTCTTTTACTGTTGGGAAAGGCTACAAGGCTGACTACTCCAGTATAGACTCAGTACTCATGTACTTCTACTGTTGGGAAAGGCTACCAGGATGACTACTCCTGTATAGACTAAGTACTCATGTTCTTTTACTGATGGGAAAGGCTATCAGGCTGACTACTCCTGTAAAGACTGAGAACTCATGTACTTTTACTGATGGGAAAGGCTACCAGGCTGACTTCTCCTGTATAGACTACTCATGTACTTTTACTGAAGGGAATGGCTACCAGGCTGAATACTCCTGTATAGACTAAGTCCTCATGTACTTTTACTGATGGGAAAGGCTATCAGGCTGACTACTCCTGTATAGACTGAGTACTCATGTACTTTTACTGTTGGGAAAGGCTACAAGGCTGACTACTCCAGTATAGACTGAGTACTCATGTACTTCTACTGTTGGGAAAGGCTACTGGGCTGTATACTCCAGTAAATTGTATGCTTTGGTGTGCTTTATACTAATTTTTGTTTAATGAAAGAAACAATCTATTGTTGTTATTGAATTGATTGGAATGGCTTAATTGGCTGCGAAATTCTGAAATATTTCATTATGTGTATATTACAGTAATTGTGGTGCCAGGGGAGAAGCTTGTGTCATCATCAGCCCATAACTCGGCATGGGAACATTCCAAGGAAACTCAGAGCGGTCAGTGTAAAAGCTATTTTATAGAATGACTGTTATCATAGATAAACAATATTAGATGTTTTTGTAAAGGTGAAAATATATGTTGAACCAGAGTTCATTGATTTTTGAAAGACCTCAATGTCTTGAAATCTCTAATCTTAATTTTAAACAAAGTCTGTTAACCCCAATAATTGCTTACTAAAGGGGATTTCTGGCATTAATCAACATTACTTAACCCTTGTGTTTTCTGCAGATTTGATCATTAGGGCATGTGACCAGGTGTCGGAGCTGGAGGAATTTTCTCAGCGGCAGTTGTCAGGCGGGTCCAAGGTGATACCCAGCTTTTTACAACAAAATCTCAGGAACATTATCACAGGTAAACCACATTTTATTGAAACTAGATCAGACAGTATTTATCGTTTTAAGCTCACCTGGCACGAAGTGCCAAGTGAGCTTATGCCGTGGTGCGGCGTCCCGCGTCCGTCCGTCGTCCGGCGTCAATATTTTACTTTAAACGACTTCTTCTTAATAACCGAAAGGCCTAGGTTTATGATATTTGGCCAGAGGCAAACTGGGATGAAGGGCTACCAAGTTTGTTCAAATAAATGACCTTCATCTATTTTCAAGGTCACAGGGGTCAAATATGTTAAAAACTTTAAACAACTTCTTTTGTATAACCAAAAGGCCTTGGATAATGATATTTGGCCATTAACATGCTCGGATGAAGGGCTACCAATTACAAGTTTGTTCTAATGAATGACCTTTGCTCATATTCAAGGTCACAGGGATCAAATATGTTTAAATCTTTAAATGACTTTTCCTGAATATTCAAAAGGTCCAGGGTAATGATATTTAGCCAGAAATATGTCGGGACGGATTGCTATAAACTTTCAAGGTCTCAAGGTCGCAGGCGTCATATGTTTAAATCATTTAATAGATTCAAATGGATCGAACACAGATATTTTGCCTGTAGCTGTATATTAGTCCACTTTTAAGATTACAAGTGTGAGATTAATACCAGGTGAGCGATTCAGGCCCATTGGGCCTCTTGTTAATTATCATACTCATGTTTGAAAAGAGAGATACATAGTTGTCAGTGTGTGTGTGTGTGTGAAAATTGTTTTCCTGGACCTGAGTTTCTTTGTAATGCCATGTGCTGTAACAGCTTGGGTGAAGGGGTGTCACTCACTAAAACTAGGTTACAGGGACATGTATCTTTTGCTCTTCTGAGCATAAAAGGAAATTTCCATGAGGAATGTGCGAGAATGAAATATTTTTGTCACCATGTATAATTCTCTCTGGTGACTGTCCTTTGCAGGTTTAGGAAGACAACCAGTGCTCAACAGTTATGCCAGAACCCCGTCCATAGTCTGGAAGATGGGCTGGATACCCTCGCCTAATGGGGAACCCAAGACCAAGTTACCTCCCCTGCCAGTTGACTTTCTCGAGGACAAGGATGTGTTGAGGGAATATGTGTTTAGGATCAACTCTCTAGGTATGACCTTTAGAATTTGTTTAGCCTCTTAAAAACAAAGATGAATTATTAATGATATAATTTGAAGAAATAGGTTCCTTTCTATATTGTATCGTGTAAATATGCAAAAATATGAATAAAAATTATATGAATGATGATGAAAAGAAACAGCTGTCAAATGCCTTTTAATTCAACAGATCTGAGATATTGTACACTGAAATAGGCAAAACAAATCAAGATGGATGGGTTTTCAAGAAACATTTAGTTTGTTAAACTGGACTTGTTTCTGAATAGGTTGGATTAATCGGCAGCAGTTTGAGGAGACATGGATGAGTTTATTGTCTGTTGTTAATCCTGTTCCAATACCATCCAATGGGGAGGAAATGGTTATCTCCCCTGAGGTAAGACAACTGTCATTATGAATAGGTAGGTATTGGCTTAAGGATACTGCAGTATGAATAAATTGCATTGTGATTTATATTTAATAAATGTGCTTAAATACCATGAACAAATAGTTAATAAAGCTGAACTGTAATAGTTATTTTCTCTAAAACACAGATTCTTGACTTGTAAGAAACATTCAATTCCGTTAATTTACATCAGATATTAGGACATTTTTAAAATTCTAGAATATGAATTTGATTAAGAATATCAGGGATTAACATATGTAATTCAATAAAAGATAATCTAGAAGAATATGAGGTATTAAGATGAGGGTGTATTTTCCCCTAGGAGGAGATGGAGCGTGCCCAGTGTACTGTGATAGCAGTGAAAGCCATCACGTCTCTCCTCATACAATCCACTCTGATCCCTGTACCAGGCAATACCAGCTACAGCTCCTACGAGATCAGGCCCAGGGACAAGCCCCTTGGTTTCCTCCATACAAGGTAGGGTTATCAATGTATAACGCATAGGGACAGGCCCCTTGGTTTCCTCCATACAAGGTAGGTCTACCAATGTATAACACATAGGAACAAGCCCCTTGGTTTCCTCCATACAAGGGAGGCTTACCAATGTATAACACATAGGGACAAGCCCCATGGTTTCCTCCATACAAGGTAGGGCTACCAATGTATAACACGTAGGAACAAGGCCCTTGGTTTCTTCCATACAAGGTAGGGCTACAAATGTATAACACATAGGAACAAGCCCCTTGGTTTCCTCTATACAAGGTAGGCTTACCAATGTATAACCCATAGGGACAAGCCCCTTGGTTTCCTCCATACAAGGAAGGCTTACCAATGTATAACACATAGGGACAAGCCCCTTGGTTTCCTCCATACAAGGTAGGTCTACCAATGTATAACACATAGGAACAAGCCCCTTGGTTTCCTCCATCCAAGGTAGGCTTACCAATGTATACACATAGGGACAAGCCCCTTGGTTTCCTCTATACAAGGTAGGCTTACCAATGTATAACCCATAGGGACAAGCCCCTTGGTTTCCTCTATCCAAGGTAGGCTTACCAATGTATAACACATATGAACAAGCCCCTTGGTTTCCTCCATACAAGGAAGGGCTACCACTGTATAACACCTAGGAACATGCCCCTTGGTTTCTTCCATACAAGGTAGGGCTACAAATGTATAACACAGGGACAAGCCCCTTGGTTTCCTCCATACAAGGAAGGGTTACCAATGTATAACACATAGGGACACGCCCCTTGGTTTCCTCCATACAAGGTAGGCTTACCAATGTATAACACATAGGGACAAGCCCCTTGGTTTCCTCTATACAAGGTAGAGTTCAGATTTTCTTATGAAACTTCATAGATGTGTGAACCATGATTGGATTCGGTGACAGGGTTATGTAAAACTCTCAGGGTTGTATACAGGAAAGACATCATGGACATTACTAGGGTGGCAGGGGTGATATATTTCAGTGAATTTTAGCTGAGTATGTGTACTATTACATACATTTGATAATATTTTTCATATATATTAATGAAATATTGATTATTTCCAGGTGTGGGAAGAAGCTGACTGTGATACGAGGTGTGATAGAACAGGAAGTCCACAATCTACACTGCCGCAGGTACGTCACCATCACACTTTCTGATTAAAAGGATACATCTCAATAAAATAGAAACTGTTCAAACAAGACATTAACTTGTTTCCCTGTATCAATTTTATTTAGTTTTTTGTGTATCTTCACATGGCTCTGTGTGTCTGTTGTAGGATGGTGAGATCAGGCTGCAGTAGTGACGAGAAGGACCTGCTACGATACATGTTTGACAGTAACTTGGAGCGGGAAATCATGGCCGATGACTACACCCTAGGACAGGTATGTCATATATACGTTAAGGTGTTCACATCAGTTATTTTTTATGAGGTTGAGGTGGTTTTTTTGTTTTTGCTTTCAAACACATATTTTATTCCCCAATTACTCAAAATATGGCGGGGGTGTACAATCTATGAGCCTTGGGTGTGGGGCTAGTACATTTTATGCCAGGACTTGTGAAAATCCTATCAGTATTTACTATGAACAATTTGGTAGGACTTGTGGAATTCTTAAAAATCTGCATGCAAGCCGAAACTCTTAGTATAAAATTGTACACCTCTGATATGGGAAAAGAAATATAGTCAGTTTAGTCTTAAATCAGTATTTTGATGGAGGTTTCAATAAAAGAAATTTCTCACCATTACAATGATGTTTTACAGATTGCAATAGAGGCTATCTGGTCGATTGTGGGGGCCCTTGATTTCCACATTGCTGAGTCAGACACCACTGATTCCCCAGATAGCCCTACCACAGACTCTCCAGGCACGCCTGGCCGCTCACGTCAACAGTTCCCACTCCTGTCCTTTGAAAGAGAGCGGCGGGAGCGGTCAGTTAACCTCAGTGGACTGGACATCCACTCTTGTCTTCAGTTCCTGTTAGAGCTTTATGGTCAATGGATGCTGACCACTCCCAGACCACCTCTCATGCTCAAGAATGAGGTCGTTAAGTCTGTACGTATTCCTGTGTCTAGTTTTACACTTTTACTTCTGTGATTAAATTGGTATATATGCTGATGCATTGTAGTTTTCTGTATGTAACTATACAGTGATTACATTTCTAGTTCTGCTTCTGTTTTAACATTGACATGCTCTGTTCCAATCACATCTTGTATTACAAATTTTGTACATTCTTGACGAAAAATATGAATTCTTTGATAATGTGTGACCAATGAACTGTTCTGTTATGAATTGTTTCACAAATTACATTCCCTGTTACATATTGTGTAAGCAATGAGATGTTTTGTTACAAATTGTAAGACCAATCACTTGCTCTGTGACAGATTGTGTGCATTCCCAGACAATAATATGCTGTTACATATTGTGTAACCAATGAGATGTTTTGTTAAAAATTGTAAGACCAATCACTTGCTCTGTGACAGATTGTGTGCATTCCCAGACAATAATATGCTGTTACATAGTGTGTAACAAATGTAATGTTTTGTTACAAATTGATAGACCAATCACATGCTGTGTTACAAATTGATAGACCAATCAAATGCTGTGTTACAGATTGTGTGCCTGTCAGATTTGTTTATGGAGAGGGAGCAGTATGACTGGATGCAAGAGGTACTACTGGACGTGTACAAGACCCATCCACAGGAGGACGAAGTCATCATGCAATACCTCAATGTGGGCATCTGTAAGGCTGCCGCTGTGGTGGGCATGGTATGTACTTAAGTTACCAGCATGGTCTGTAACCTATAAATAACTGTTGTTGTATGTACCAAGGTTGCCAGCATGATCTGTAACCTATAAATAACTGTTGTTGTATGTACTAAGGTTACCAGTATGGTTTGTAACCTATAAATAACTAATGTTGTATGTACCAAGGTTACCAGCATGGTTTGTAGCCTATAAATAACTATTGTTGTATGTACCAAGGTTACCAGCATGGTATGTAACCTATAAATAACTGTTGTTGTATGTACCAAGCTTACCAGCCTGGTTTGTAGCCTATAAATAACCATTGTTGTATGTACCAAGGTTACCAGCATGGTTTGTAACCTATAAATAACTAATGTTGTATGTACCAAGGTTGCCAGCATGGTCTGTAACCTTTAAATAACTGTTGTTGTATGTACCAAGGTTACCAGCCTGGTTTGTAGCCTATAAATAACTATTGTTGTATGTACCAAGGTTACCAGCATGGTATGTAACCTATAAATAACTGTTGTTGTATGTACTAAGGTTACCAGTATGGTTTGTAACCTATAAATAACTAATGTTGTATGTACTTAAGTTACCAGCATGGTCTGTAATCTATAAATAACTGTTGTTGTATGTACCAAGGTTGCCAGCCTGGTTTGTAGCCTATAAATAACTATTGTTGTATGTACCAAGGTTGCCAGCATGGTCTGTAACCTTTAAATAACTGTTGTTGTATGTACCAAGGTTACCATCATGGTTTGTAACCTATAAATAACTGTTGTTATATGTACCAAGGTTACCAGCATGGTCTGTAACCTATAAATAACTGTTGTTGTATGTACCAAGGTTACCAGCCTGGTTTGTAGCCTATAAATAACTATTGTTGTATGTACCAAGGTTACCAGCATGGTCTGTACCCTATAAATAACTATTGTTGTATGTACCAAGGTTGCCAGCATGGTCTGTAACCTATAAATAACTAATGTTGTATGTACCAAGGTTGCCAGCATGGTCTGTAACCTATAAATAACTGATGTTGTATATACCAAGGTTGCCAGCATTGTCTGTAACCTATAAATAACTGTTGTTGTATGTCCCAAGGTTACCAGCATGGTTTGTAACCTATAAATAACTAATGTTGTATGTACCAAGGTTGCCAGCATGGTTTGTAACCTATAAATAACTGTTGTTATATGTACCAAGGTTACCAGCATGGTCTGTACCCTATAAATAACTGTTGTTGTATGTTCCTTTGTTGCCAGCATGGTCAGTAACCTTAAAATTAACTATTTTCATATATATCGGATAGGCTGCCCGTATAGTATGTATTATATAAAGTTATGATAAACTGTTGTAATGGGAATCTAAATAAATATGATTGTATGTACCAAGGTTACCAGCATGGTCTGTAACCTCTAAATAACTATTGTTGTATGTACCAAGGTTACCAGCATGGTTTGTAGCCTATAAATAACTATTGTTGTATGTACCAAGGTTGCCAGCATGATCTGTAACCTATAAATAACTGTTGTTGTATGCTCCTTTGTTGCCAGCATGGTCAGTAACCTTAAAATTAACTATTTTCATATATATCGGATAGGCTGCCCGTATAGTATGTATTATATAAAGTTATGATAAACTGTTGTAATGGGAATCTAAATAAATATGATTGTATGTACCAAGGTTACCAGCATGGTCTGTACCCTATAAATAACTGTTGTTGTATGTTCCTTTGTTGCCAGCATGGTCAGTAACCTTAAAATTAACTATTTTCATATATATCGGATAGGCTGCCAGTATAGTATGTGTTATATAAAGTTATGATAAACTGTTGTAATGGGAATCTAAATAAATATGACACAAGTTGAAATTTCAATCTTTCCTGTATGTACCAAGGTTACCAGCATGGTCTGTACCCTATAAATAACTGTTGTTGTATGTTCCTTTGTTGCCAGCATGGTCAGTAACCTTAAAATTAACTATTTTCATATATATCGGATAGGCTGCCAGTATAGTATGTATTATATAAAGTTATGATAAACTGTTGTAATGGGAATCTAAATAAATATGATTGTATGTACCAAGGTTACCAGCATGGTCTGTACCCTATAAATAACTATTGTTGTATGTACCAAGGTTACCAGCATGGTCTGTACCCTATAAATAACTGTTGTTGTATGTACCAAGGTTGCCAGCCTGGTTTGTAGCCTATAAATAACTATTGTTGTATGTACCAAGGTTACCAGCATGGTTTGTAACCTATAAATAACTGTTGTTGTATGTTCCTTTGTTGCCAGCATGGTCAGTAACCTTAAAATTAACTATTTTCATATATATCGGATAGGCTGCCAGTATAGTATGTATTATATAAAGTTATGATAAACTGTTGTAATGGGAATCTAAATAAATATGACACAAGTTGAAATTTCAATCTTTCCTTCAATATGGATGATTTCTAGGACTCTTTTTTTTTTTTTACTTTCTGAATTTGAAAGCAGTTTTCAACTCTATCAATTAAAATTGCTCAAAATGTATTGATTGATATTTTATTTGTGTCACAATTATATGATTCTCACTTTAATACTCTTAAATGAATTTACATCCTTATTATGAAAATGAAACCCTTTTTTATTTAGGACAATGCTGCAACAGAGAAATTGATGAAGATCATTGATGCAGGCTTCAGGAGTCCACACTTACCAAGCAGAATTGGGGCTCTGCATGGAACACTCTATCTATTGGAGGCAGGAATACAGGATGTTACCAAGTTACTTATTCCCTTAGCAACAGACTTCCTTCTCCGAAACTTATCATCAGTCAGCCAGTAAGTCATTGTTTTTCTTGTAGTGTAAAATGATATCTTTTATACAAGTTTCATCAATGTTTTCAAATAACAAGAAATATAACACTGCATTTATTGCATAGTTTAAGTAGACAAGACATCATAATATTTCTGTCAATGGAACATCCATCTTGAAATAACCTACTGTGCCACTCAAGGAAAATGAGTTACACTAAAACCCCACTTCCTCAAACTCAGTTTACTCGAATACCTCATTCCTCGAACAGTTCGTTTGGTCCCGACCGAATTCGTACATATTCTTTGTAAAGTAACCCCGATTAGTCGAACCGTTATTCCTCGAACAAAAATTTGTTCCCGACTCTTCATGGTCATAGTATTAATCCTATCTATTCGTCGAACAGGTGTGACCTGTCACAACCGACTGATATTTTACCTGTGTATCACAGGTACTGGCACTGCCGTCGACATGTCTTGAGGCACAGACTGCGGTCCACTTGCTCATTGTGCTTATTCAGGTGTCGGCTGAATGTCAGAGGATTAACGGCAGTATCATTAAATAGCTGTACCGTTACCCTGTTGTAGCTGCATTATCATTTTGTGTGCATATTTATTTTCTCCAGACGATATTTTGACATCGATGATTGGGCGGAGGTGTTAATTCACTTTGTGTGTAGAACCATATTTCGGCATGGAAATATTAAGCGGAAATCACATAGCGTAATCCGACAAACTTTTAAGATATTCAAACTTGAATATGTTGTGGTTGTTAATTTCGTTATCAATCAACATTATGACAAGGATTCAAGATTTTGTTTGTTTTAAAATGATCAAATTGTTTCGTTTTGATATTTTGTAAAATTAATGTAGCTGATTACAATATTGTGGACAATATCAAAACGACAAGTATGTTACACATGCAGCTTTTTAATTTTATTTACTTCCTTAATACCAGTGGCTATATGTTTTCATTATTTAGCTATTTTAAATCTTATTAAATGCTGTCATCTTGATTGAACTTCCTTTTTACTTCTATTGTCTACTATCTGTGATAGTTGCAGTGCTCGTACTGTCTGTTGTCCCACCTGATAAAAAAAATGACGGTTTCAGTGGAACCTCTGATTCATCGAATACCATGTATTCCTCGAACAATTGATCTGGACCTTACGAGTTTGAGTAAACAGGGTTTTACTGTATTCAGCATTTGAAAATAGAAGGAAGGAGGGTGGTGTGTGTGTTCTTATTCAATCTACCGTAGATTAACTGGAGTTTCCTCCAATTTTCTGAGAATGTCGTTGAATGAGGTAAGCTTTGTGAGATTGTATCAAATATTCAATGAGTAATTCTCAACAAGTTATAACAACAGATTGACAAACGTGTTGCAGGATATATATATAAGGCATGTTAGAATCATTTTCAAAGATGTATAGTGAACCTTTGTTGGGAAGTAAAACCTGAGTTTGAACCTGTCTATTCCAGAACCTGTATCACCAGTCAGAACTACATGCTGACCATGTGGTCAACAGTGTTTTACATCATGGAGAACTACCACATAGATCTCAAGGACCTGGAGTTCCCCAGCAAAGTTCTCCAGGTAAGTTACCTACAACTGAGAGACTGGCAAATACGATTTTCACTCCCAAGTGGATTTGTCACAAGACAGTACAGGCCAAGATTGTCTTACATCTTCATTTAACATTGTTATGATAACCTTTTTTCTTGTCGACATAACAATCTGCTTAATTATTTTTTTCCCCTGCTTTTTAAGTTGATGGCTGTTGTATCAGCTTTGACTCTTTCATAGTCTGTATTTATGGTTGATGGCCCTTGCTTCCATCACTGTCTGTATGCTTGTACTAATGGTTGACTTTTGCCTCCTAAATTCCATCACTGTCTGCATGCTTGTACTAATCGTTGACTTTTGCCTCCTAAATTCCATCACTGTCTGTATCCCCCTACTAATAGTTGACTATTGCTTCCTAACTTCAATCACTGTCTGTATGCTTGTTCTAACAGTTGCCTTTTGCCTCCTATCTTCCAAGACTGGCTGTATGCTTGTACTAATGGTTGACTTTTGCCTCTTAAATTCCATCACTGTCTGCATGCTTGTACTAATCGTTGACTTTTGCCTCTTAACTTCCATCACTGCCTGTATGCTTGTACTAATAATTGTCTTTTGCTTCCTATCTTCCATCACTGTCTGTCTGCTTGTACTAATAGTTGTCTTTTGCCTCCTAACTTACATCACTGTCTGTATCCCCCTACTAATAGTTGACTATTGCTTCCTAACTTCCATCACTGGCTGTATGCTTGTACTAATAGTCGACTTTTGCTTCCTAACTGCCATCACTGTCTGTACGCTTGTACTAATAGTGGACTTTTGCCTCTTAAATTCCATCACTGTCTGCATGCTTGTACTAATATTTGACTTTTGCTTCCGAACTTCCATCACTGTCTGTCTGCTTGTACTAATAGTTGTCTTGTGCTTCCTAACTTCCATCACTGTCTGCATGCTTGTACTAATATTTGACTTTTGCTTCCTACCTTCCATCACTGTCTGCATGCTTGTACTAATCGTTGACTTTTGCCTCTTAAATTCCATCACTGTCTGCATGCTTGTACTAATCGTTGACTTTTGCCTCTTAAATTCCATCACTGTCTGCATGCTTGTACTAATAATTGACTTTTGCTTCCAAACTTCCATCACTGTCTGCATGCATGTACTAATAGTTGACTTTTGCCTCCTAACTTCCATCACTGTCTGCATGCTTGTACTAATAGTTGACTTTTGCCTCTTAACTTCCATCACTGTCTGTATGCTTGTACTAATAGTTGACTTTTGCCTCCTAACTCAGTGTTTTTCACTTGTTGACCCTTCACTCCTATTAAGACATTGTGACCTTTGACTCTATCTCATTCTCACTGTTTGTACTTGATGACCTTCACAATTCCAAAGTCAAAGCCAATCCATAAAACACCTCCAGTCTGTACACCGATGGTTTTGGGACCAAATTCTTGGTCTGTGTAGAGATTCCGCATGAACTGACCATCATTGCTGACCATCTGGACCGACTTAGTTGTCCGCTCAGCAATGAACAGTTGTCCAGCAGCATCATAACATGCATCTGAAGGCCAGAACGTAGACGGTGGCACCTTCTTGTTCCTCCCAGCGCTGGCAGATGCTGCTCTGGGTTTACCAGACCGGCGTGGCTTTGTTGCTGTGGTGGGGCCACGGTATTGGAACAGTAGCTGAAGGTCAGAGGTCAGCACAGTGACACAGGGGCTGCCCTTACCCTCGTGAGACTGTTCATCCCAGTCAACCACAGCGATATTTCCGGAGGTGGGACACACGCTGATGTGTTGGGGTGACGCGATGATCCGACGCCCAAGTTTGTCCAAAGATGCTGTGAAAAGTTCATCACCCTCCAGGTTGTAAACACACACTTTTCGGAATGTCCCGACAACCACATCTTCGTCATGGGTCAGGGCAAGTGCTCGTGGGACAAATGGAAAGTTGAGTCTGACTACTGTTTTAGTGGGGTTGGTCATCTCACGTACACTGTAGTCATACTCGCTACAGCACCACAGGTTGTTGGTGACAGGAGAGGTACAGATGTCCCGGACGTGAAGACCCAGACTTGTGCTCTGTTTGACATCACCCGCCCTGTCCAGAAGGACCACCTCCTTCTTCTCCTCGTTACTAACCCAGGTGTACACACCTTCCGTCGGCACTAGGGATGTAATGTCTGTCAGGTTGCGAAATTCGGACAGAAGACTGTACAGTGCTGTCACTGGACTTGGCACGGGTTTATCCACTTTCTTCACAGCCTGTGGTGCCAGTGGGGACAGCTGTTTAGGTCTGTACCCTACAACCTCTACGTTACCGAAGGCCGCCTCCAACAGGGGCAGGGGCGAGGAACCTAGCTTGTACTTGGTTGTCTGGGTGATAGGAACTCTTGGAAGCTTGAGCCCTGCACGGATAATCTTCTCAGAGTCCAATACGATGGAGAAATCCTCAGTGTCGTTGGCCTGATGACACTTGCGGAGAGCATAAATTATTTCTGTGTGGAGCGTGTTCAGCTCGCCACGGTAGTAATCTATGTACACTGTGTTCTCCTTAGCTACCTCTGTGATGGTGGAAACGTGACGTAGTGTGATCTTGTCAATCTCTGCTTTAAGCTCCTCCCCTCGCCGTTGTACGACACCAATCAGCTCTTGATAATGTTTTCGGTTCTGTTCCAGTTTCTCCTCAGAAAATTGTAGTTCTTTTAATATTTTTGGGATCTCAAACTTTTCAGCTTTCTCTATGTAGTGCTGAATGAGCTTTTTCCAGATGAAGTCAGGTGTGTTTATGAGCTTGATCAGATTGTGACCTTGATGTGTGGAGGTCACACACTCAGGACATGCCATGCAGCCATCACAGTCGGAACAGCTGTAGATCAGCTCCTCCCAGGGGTGGTGCTGACACAGGGACACAGTCTCCTGTCCAGGGTCTAGGGGCTTATTTATAGACATCCTGTGTGTGGACAGTTAGGTCTATGTTGTCATCACTGCATCTGTGTGTAACAGATCTGTAAATATAGAATACACATGTAATTTTAACTTAATTATTAAATATCACAATAAGCAAGGATCAGAAAACAAAATGTGTTTGAAACATTTTGAAATTTCTAAGTATGCATATGATAGGTTATGATTTGAGTTGATTTGCATCTTGTTGTGCAAATTTAACTTTGGGAATCCAAAAGACTTATCTTTCTAAAATCTGACATGGTGATATGCTTCGACATGTTAATTTGTGGGTTAAAAAGTTTCTAAGTTCAAAGCCAAGGTCACTGTTTAAAAAATAGACAAGGGGAGGGGGAAGGGGGTACAGTCCTTATCACTGAATAAACAAAAAAAACTTTCTTAAATTTGACACAGTGATACACTGTGAAATGTAAATGTGCACTAGAGGTTTAAAAAGATTCTGTTTCTAAAGATAGACCTTTGAGGGTATATACATAGGGTCAGGCATGTGGCGGGCCCTTGCTGACCTGTCAGTGTTCTAGTTTATACTTCTATCCAGTTTATGTTCAGCTTAATGAGAAACAGATTTATGTATATATAATCTTATACAAAAAAAGGAGTTTTATTAAAAAGGAAATTTTAGTTTGACAAATTTATAAATCTTTTATGGAACAGAAATTCCAAGATTTCAATGTCTGTTAAATCATGTGTGTTTTACTGTGATATCATTAATTAATTAAATCATCTGTGATGTCATGATCATAAGGACATCTTACACTTGTTATATAAGACAATATGCATGAGTATACATGTATCACAGTAGTGTTTATGTTGTATTAATGCAACTGTCTTTTTATTTGATGGGTTAAACATAAAATAGTTCTGAATTTGCAAATATGAATTTTCATATTGATATTCTAAAACTTTTTTTCTGCAAGAACATCATTAATTCAAATATTATTTTCTTTGTTGTTTAAGTCATAGCTGATAATTATAAGATACTAATGTTAGACTGCATGGTTTCAAATTGTCGTTATATTTATTATCACTGATTTTTCTTCTTATTTTCTTTATATGAAACAAAATATAATTTTAAGTGATTAAAATCTTTGATAATCCTTACCTTCAGTACTAACACTGATAGGCCAACAGATCTTTACAAAACTTTGGCCGCAGTGTATGAAAAGCTGAGTGCTTTATAGCAGATCTTATCCTCAAAGCTAGAACAAGTTTTGGCCGGTGTTCACCTTGTCTCAGACAACATCAGCAGCAGGCTGAAACTCTATAGGTCTGATTTAAATGTCCACACAATGTCTAGCTGGGTATGGTCGGCGGGAGTGTGTAGTGTTTTGTCGGACAATCTCAGCCCAGCTCTCTGGTCAATCATCCAATGCAGTCATGGAGCGTGACAATTACACAATGACAGCTCTTTGTTATAGATACTCCGAATCGCCTACTGCAGACATTGTTTATCTGTCACACTCCAGAAGCTAGTGTCAGTACTAATTAATTTACTGTTTAATTGTATAAATCTGGCCCACCATACTTACAAATAAAATATTAATATGGTAGGTCGAATGTCAATAGTTCTTATGATAATTGTAATGATTGTTTAACGTACATACATCTGTTTGTGTAGGTGTATATACTGTACATTATAATAATGATATGTATGCTGTAATACTTCACATGTCATGTATTTGTCATCAATGTTCCAGCTGGCTGTAATGGGTATAGGCCAGTCTGTCAACTGACCATAATAGTTATTATCATTATTAGTGCTTAGTTTAATACGTGTTTGCTTTCAATTTCAATGCAAAAACTTGATATTTTGCAAACTTATTCATTTGTGTTTTGTTAATTCACTCATATATATACAAATTTATCAAATGTATACAATTCTGGCATTGTTTAAGAAATGATTACTAATAATGGTATACATGTGTATCTGTATACAATACAAAGGTGTTATGTGTCCTGAAAACAGGAACATGGTATACTACCGGGTAAGAGAATATGTAAATTAGGTTGACCTTTTATTTAAAAAAAAACTCCACTGTTAGGCCTATAAATTATATGTCAATGTTTGAATCCTGGTGTGATTGTATGAATGTGTTTGACCCTTTATAGGGGGTTTAAAACTATTGTACACAGGTACCTGGTAGATACTCATATGGGACCAGCCTTTGGAAAAGGTTTTGATTGTGTGCCTCAAATAGTGTTATATGTTGCTATGTGAAATAATATAAAATATATGTAATATTTAATAAAGTACATGAACACAAATCTTGACTTTTCTATCATTGTAAAACCAGGGCCCGTATTCATGAAACCGTTCTCATGCTCAAGCGTGGATTCTGTGCTCAAACCAACTTTCTTTTAAATCATGTCAAACGATCAAAAAGTCATATGTAAACACTGAAAACAGTTTTTGGCTTTAAGTCTCTCCAAGGGTCTTCCAAATCATTGACAAAATAAAAAAAATAAAAAAAAAGATTTATAACGGGAACAAGAAATTGGCTTAAGCACAAAATCCATACTTGAGCATAAGAACGGTTTCATGATCAATACTGGCCCTGATATTAGATGGAAATATGGGGTTATAAAGGAGAGTCGAGAAAGTGGAAGAAAGTACTGAAGTCATTGGCATTTAAATGATCTAATTATAAAGTTATGATTGTGTCATTGCCGGAGGGTTTGTTTGTCAGTAAAACTATCAATTATCAATCCTACCAGAGCAATGAAGCTATTGAAATGTGTGAATATATACTTGACTTTTATAATTGGTATGTGAAAATACTGGATGGTACGTGATGTATTACTGCCACAATGAAAGTGTTAGATTGGCTATGTGTAGTACTGTACACATCTTTTGTGATTGTAATTAGTTTGTTTATTGTGGTTGGTTATAAGTTATGTGTAGTATTGTTCACATCTACTGAGATTGTAATTAGTTTGGTTATTGTGGTTGGTTATAAGTTTACAGGAACCTTTGAGGTGTAGCAGGACTGGATTGGGTCAGTGTTAGATTGCCTATGTGTAGTACTGTACACATCTACTGTGATTGTAAGTAGTTTGGTTATTGTGGTTGGTTATAAGTTTACAGGAACCTTTGAGGTGTAGCAGGACTGGATTGGGGCAGTGTTAGATTGCCTATGTGTAGTACTGTACACATCTACTGTGATTGGAATTAGTTTGGTTATTGTGGTTGGTTATAAGTTTACAGGAACCTTTGAGGTGTAGCAGGACTGGATTGGGGCAGTGTTAGATTGCCTATGTGTAGTACTGTACACATCTACTGTGATTGGAATTAGTTTGGTTATTGTGGTTGGTTATAAGTTATGTGTAGTATTGTTTACATCTACTGTGATTGTAATTAGTTTGGTTATTGGGGTTGGTTATAAGTTATGTGTAGTACTGTACACATCTACTGTGATTGAAATTAGTTTGGTTATTGTGGTTGGTTATAAGTTATGTGTAGTATTGTTTACATCTACTGTGATTGTAATTAGTTTGGTTATTGTGGTTGGTTATAAGTTTACAGGAACCTTTGAGGTGTAGCAGGACTGGATTGGGTCGATCATTGGTGACCAGGTAACTCAATTGGTAGAGTGTCCATCTTGAATTGGGATGGACCTGGTTTGAACCGCTGTCTGGCTGTGCATTCTCTGCTCCTACTATAGGGGAATGGCCTTGTTAAATACATAATCATGGGGTTTATTTTGAAATTCATACTTAGAAGGTGATTTTTTTAAGGAACCAAATTCATGTTGATTTTCTACTAGCCAGTGTTAGAGATGGATTGAGTATAAGCAGTAATTGTCATTTACGGCAATGCTATGAGATACTTTGTTTTCACATGAAAAATATTGAGGAAAACTTTAAAAAGAGAAAATGTGGGATAATTATGTGAAAACCAAAATGCAATGGTCACATTCATTGTTTCCTTATTAAAAAAAATATACATTGTATATACTTTGTTTTGTAAGTGCAGTGGAACTGGACTGGGATGATTTTGGATCAGTTACCAGTGATATGTACATCCATCTAGAGTTAGGAGCCTTGGTTTGGGATACTAACTATACACCCAACATGTGGTGTAGGGTCTTGTGTGCCTTCATGGTCAAAGAATCTGTGATGTAAGAGGGAGGAATGTAGTAGAACTGAACTGGGATGATTTTGGATCAGTTACCAGTGATATGTACATCCATCTAGAGTTAGGAGCCTTGGTCTGGGATACTAACTATACACCCAACATGTGGTGTAGGGTCTTGTGTGCCTTCATGGTCAAAGAATCTGTGATGTAAGAGGGAGGAATGAAGTAGAACTGGACTGGGATGATTTTGGATCAGTTACCAGTGATTTTTACATCCATCTAGAGTTAGGAGTCTTGGTCTGGGATACTAACTATACACTCAACATGTGGTGTAGGGTCTTGTGTGCCTTCATGGTCAAAGAAACTGTGATGTAAGAGGGAGGAATGTAGTAGAACTGGACTGGGATGATTTTGGATCAGTTACCAGTGATTTTTACATCCATCTAGAGTTAGGAGCCTTGGTCTGGGATACCAACTATACACCCAACATGTGGTGTAGGGTGTTGTGTGCCTTCACGGTCAAAGAATCTGTGATGTAAGAGGGAGGAATGTAGTAGAACTGAACTGGGATGATTTTGGATCAGTTACCAGTGATATGTTCATCCATCTAGAGTTAGGAGCCTTGGTCTGGGATACCAACTATACACCCACCATGTGGTGTAGGGTCTTGTGTGCCTTCATGGTCAAAGAATCTGTGATGTAAGAGGGAGGAATGTAGTAGAACTGAACTGGGATGATTTTGGATCAGTTACCAGTGATTTGTACATCCATCTAGAGTTAGGAGCCTTGGTCTGGGATACCAACTATACACCCAACATGTGGTGTAGGGTCCTGTGTGCCTTCAGGGTCAAAGACTTTGTGATGTAAGAGGGAGGGAAGTAGTAGAACTGAACTGGGTCAGTTTCTGGTGACCAGAGGGAGGGATATAGTAGAACTGAACTGGGTCAGTTTCTGGTGGCCAGAGGGAAGGATGTAGTAGAACTGAACTGGGTCAGTTTCTGGTGACCAGAGGGAAGGATGTAGTAGAACTGAACTGGGTCAGTTTCTGGTGACCAGGTAGCTCAGTTGGTTAGAGCAACTATCTCAAGTTTGAATCCTAGTCTACTTGTTTGCATTGCTTCCATTCCTGTTAAAATTATGAAACAAGTTATTTCAGCTTATATTAATTACTCGTGTTGGCACGGATGTCAGTGCTTATGGTATCTTAATATGGGTGGGAAACAGAGTACCCAGAGAAAACTCACGTGGTAAGGCATTTGACCCCATACCATTTCATGTCTGATCGGGAAATCAAACCCCGGCCGCCTTGGTGAAAGGCAAGTGCGCTATCCACTGTGCCACCTGACCATCATATTAATATTTGATTACAAGAAAGGCCATTATTGTTATTCTTAATAACAACACATTGAATAAAGTTACAATCTATACTGATATGTCATCACTAGACTAATACTGCAGTCACAAATTAAAATTTTACCCCTGCCTCCCTACAGCTGGCGGTGATCACAGCGTCGGGTAGTGAGGACAGTGTCTCTACTGCAGTCTACCTGGCTATCCTCAAGGGCCTGGAACGTCTCCTCCTCACTGATGTCCTCTCAAAACAGGATGCTGAGGCCATCATCAAACTTGGAGTGGACAGGTATTACACAGAATTATAGCAACCATAAATAGAAAAAAGATTTGTTTTTGGAAAAACATGTTAAGTAAGAACAGGTGGCACATACAAAATGTTGTTAAATAGCCCAATATAAAAAGGAACCTTTTCTGTTCCTTGTGCTTGTTATAAGAATAAAACAACAGATATATATGGAGATATTAATTGGTTATTTTTACAGGTTATGTTTGCCAAGTCCACAGAGGTCACTAGCAGCTCTTGGTCTCATGTTTACCTGTATGTACTCTGGTAAGTCCTATCTTGGTCTCATGTTTACCTGTATGTACTCAGGTAAGTCCTATCTTGATACCATGTTTACCTGTATGTACTCTGGTAAGTCCTATCTTGGTCCCATGTTTACCTGTATGAACTCAGGTAAGTCCTATCTTAGTCCCATGTTTACCTGTATGAACTCAGGTAAGTCCTATCTTGGTCCCATGTTTACTTGTATGAACTCGGGTAAGTCCTATATTGGTCCCATGTTTACCTGTATGTACTCAGGTAAGTCCTATATTGGTCCCATGTTTACCTGTATGTACTCAGGTAAGTCCTATATTGGTCCCATGTTTACCTGTATGTACTCCGGTAAGTCCTATCTTTGTTCTGCATTTACCTGTGTGTACTAAGGTAAGTCCAATCTTGGTCTCATGTTTACCTGTACGAACTCAGGTAAGTCCTATATTGGTCCCATGTTTACCTGTATGTACTCAGGTAAGTCCTATCTTGGTCCCATGTTTACCTGTATGTACTCTGGTAAGTCCTATCTTGGTTCCGCATTTACCTGTATGTACTCCGGTAAGTCCTGACTTGGTCCTGCATTTACCTGTATGTACTCAGGTAAGTCCTATCTTGGTCCCATGTTTACCTGTATGTACTCAGGTAAGTGCTATCTTGGTCCCATGTTTACCTGTATGTACTCAGGTAAGTCCTTTCTTGGTCCCGCATTTACCTGTATGAACTCAGGTTAGTCCTATCTTGGTTCCGCATTTACCTGTATGAACTGAGGTAAGTCCTATCTTGGTCCCGCATTTACCTGTATGTACTCAGGTAAGTCCTATCTTGGTCCCATGTTTACCTGTATGTACTCAGGTAAGTGCTATCTTGGTCCCATGTTTACCTGTATGTACTCAGGTAAGTCCTTTCTTGGTCCCGCATTTACCTGTATGAACTCAGGTTAGTCCTATCTTGGTTCCACATTTACCTGTATGAACTGAGGTAAGTCCTATCTTGGTCCCGCATTTACCTGTATGTACTCAGGTAAGTCCTATCAAGGTCCCATGTTACAGTGCCTCGTTAATCCAGATGTTTTCATTAGAGGAAATAGTTTTTAATTAATGCTAATTTTGACCTTATTTATGTAGTAATTAAACCCAATAAACCAGACCAATATGTAAATGTCCATACCATCAACGATTTGAAGAGTCATTAACAAGATAACATTTCACTTTTACAGTTGATCAGGATCATTAATATCGCCATGCTAAAATTTCCACTTGTATGATAGAACATATTAAAAAATAACCAAAATAACATGAAGCATATTTTTGGGGATGTATTAAGAGATAGATGTATGTGATTGACATGATTTTGTGATTGCATACAGGTAAACAATATGACCAGTACAGCCCTTCCCCACGTGATATGGAGCCCGGGACCACGGCCTATGACTTCGAGGTGGTGTACCAGGACCCCGAGTCACTCATCCTTGCCATGGAGCGAGTCACTGTTCTGTTTGATAGGTAAAAAATCTCTCGTGTTTTAAAAGTAAATGATTGTCGGGTAAATAGTTGATAGGTGAATATTTAACAGGTAAATGTAGGTAGATGTTTGACAGGTAAAGCAAATATGTAAGAGGCCACATTCCTGTCTGACAGACAAAATTTGCCTTAGTAAGAGTTGCTATCCTAATTGACAAGTAATACACCAATAAAACTACTGTGCCTGGCAATGCCTTAATTGAACCGGCTGAAAATGTATTGATTTTTTTTATTTAAATACATTCAGTAGAACTCAGTGACATTCACTTACAGACAGATATGAACTACTATTCCTTTTATATCAAAGACTCAGTTTTAGGGTGTTCAGTATGACTAAAGGGGCCTGTTCGTTTATGTGGAACAAACGGTTTGTCTATTTTTAAATGTAACATTTTGGGTATTAATACTAGCGGACCTGCAAATGTTTATGCAGGCCTTGTAAGGCTATGTCAAGGCTCGCCTGAAAGCAGCAACAGATTACTAGGTCCGACCTTATTTAATAAACAAACAACTCTAGTCCAACCGATTCCGCGGAATGGACCACGATAAACGACGGCCTAGGCATAGGACAGCTGTCTGTTCCCCTACTAGGCTTGATTTAGTTTGTCAGTAATAACAAGGCATGTTATAGGACCATGACACCATTTGCGCAAACATGTTACTTCATTATTGTGGGATAAAGAAAGGTTACACTTACAAGGATGTTGTCATATCACTTTACCATAGATCTGTGTGTGGTAGGATAGTCAGCCCTAACATAGTCAGCCCTAACAAGCTGCTGGTGTCACTTTACCATAGATATGTGTGAGGTAGGATAGTCAGCCCTAACAAGCTGCTGGTGTCACTTTACCATAGATATGTGTGAGGTAGGATAGTCAGCCCTAACAAGCTGCTGGTGTCACTTTACCATAGATCTGTGTGTGGTAGGATAGTCAGCCCTAACAAGCTGCTGGTGTCACTTTAACATAGTATTTGTGTTGTAGGATAGTCAGCCCTAACATGTTGCTGGTGTCACTTAACCATAATATTTGTGTTGTAGGATAGTCAGCCCTAACAAGCTGCTGGTGTCACTTTACCATAATATTTGTGTTGTAGGAAAGTCAGCCCTTACAAACTGCTGGTGTCACTTTAACATATTATTTGTGTTGTAGGATAGTCAGCCCTAACAAGCTGCTGGTGTCACTTTAACATAGATCTGTGTGTTGTAGGATAGTCAGCCCTAACAAGCTGCTAGTGTCACTTTACCATAGATCTGTGTGTGTTAGGATAGTCAGCCCTAACAAGCTGCTGGTGTCACTTTACCATAGATCTGTGGGTGGTAGGATAGTCAGCCCTAACAAGCTGCTAGTGTCACTTTAACATAGATCTGTGTGTTGTAGGATAGTCAGCCCTAACAAGCTGCTGGTGTCACTTTAACATAGATCTGTGTGTGTTAGAATAGTCAGCCCTAACAATCTGCTAGTGTCACTTTAACATAGATCTGTGTGTGGTAGGATAGTCAGCGCTAACAAGCTGCTGGTGTCACTTTAACATCGATCTGTGTATTGTAGGATAGTCAGCCCCAACAAGCTGCTAGTGTCACTTTAACATAGATCTGTGTGTGGTAGGATAGCCAGCCCTAACAAGCTGCTGGTGTCACTTTAACATCGATCTGTGTATTGTAGGATAGTCAGCCCTAACAAGCTGCTAGTGTCACCTTAACATAGATCTGTGTGTGGTAGGATAGTCAGCCATAACAAGCTGCTGGTGTCACTTTAACATAGATCTGTGTGTGGTAGGATAGTCAGCCCTAACAAGCTGCTGGTGTCACTTTAACATCGATCTGTGTATTGTAGGATAGTCAGCCCTAACAAGCTGCTAGTGTCACTTTAACATATATCTGTGTGTGGTAGGATAGTCAGCCCTCTCAAGCTGCTAGTGTCACTTTACTATAGATCTGTGTGTGTTAGGATGGTCAGCCCTAACAAGCTGCTAGTGTTACTTTAACATAGATCTGGGTGTGGTAGGATAGTCAGCCCTAACAAGCTACTGGTGTCACTTTAACATAGATCTGTGTGTGGTAGGATAGTCAGCCCTCACAAGCTGCTAGTGTCACTTTACTATAGATCTGTGTGTGTTAGGATAGTCAGCCCTAACAAGCTGCTAGTGTCACTTTAACATAGATCTGTGGGTGGTAGGATAGTCAGCCCTAACATAGTCAGCCCTAACAAGCTTCTGGTGTCACTTTACCATAGATATGTGTGTGGTAGGATAGTCAGCCCTAAGAAGCTACTGGTGTCACTTTAACATAGATCTGTGTGTGGTAGGATAGTCAGCCCTAACAAGCTGCTGGTTTCACTTTACCATAATATTTTTGTTGTAGGATAGTCAGCCCTAACAAGCTGCTGGCGTCACTTTACCATAGATCTGTGTGTGTTAGGATAGTCAGCCTTAACAAGCTGCTGGCGTCACTTAACCATAATATTTGTGTTGTAGGATAAAGAAAGGTTACCCATATGAGGCTCGTGTTATATCACGAGTGCTGCCGACATTCCTTGCAGACTTCTTCCCACCTCAGGATGTGATGAATAAAGTGATTGGGGAGTTTATCTCCTCACAGCAGCCGTACCCACAGGTCGTTGCTAAGGTCGTGTTCCAGGTAGGTACTTCGTAATGATGCGGATGATTTATGTATTGTTCCAGAAAGATAGAAAGATCACAACTGTTCTGATTGGTTAACAAGGTAAGGCAAGGTGAGTAAAGTAACCTCAGATAGCAGTGATCCTTCTGTCAATAAGTTGATGTCACTGGCAGTTGTTAGGTAAATAGCTTGTTATCACTATCATCTCAGCTTACTTAAGTTACATTGATTTTTAGAAACTTCCCTGAGCTGTACAGGTACGGGTATTTTAATTTTTGATCCAAAGTAACTCATATGAACTAAAAAATTTTTTTCATTGATAAATTCAGCGAGTCATTGCCTGCAGCAACCAATTGGTAAAAAATTGGTAAAAACAAATTGTCAAGTATATGAGACAATAGGAAAAGAATCTATAAATCTTGTTCAGTATATAACATATAAGAATAATGGAATGGAATCTGCGATTTTTGTCTGGTATACTAAATACATCATGTAATGAAAAAAAATGTAAAACTTGTCCAGTATATTACGTAACAGTGTAATGGAATCTGTGAGTTTTGCCTGGTATACTTAATAATGAAATATTAGACAATGGCAATGGAATCTATATGTCAAATCTTGTCCGGTATACTGGACTACAGTGAGGGAAATAGTAAAATAGTTATGATTACTGATTCAGACACAAAACAAAAGTGTGAGACTTGTATGTAGACATGTATTTCTGTTGTTGGTGATGTGTTTGAGGTTTGTTGTGTTTGTGTGATTGCCAGGTGTTTGCCAACCTCCACCAGCAGAAGCAGCAGACCTTGGTGAGAGACTGGGTGATGCTGTCTCTGTCCAACTTCACACAGCGCACACCGATCGCCATGGCAATGTGGAGCCTCACCTGCTTCTTCATCAGCGCCTCAGTCAATCCCTGGCTACGCGCCCTGTATCCTTTTCCTGTCATGTCTAGATGTTTAATCCATATCTAAAGGGTTAACTAGTGCTGAAGACAATTCTTTTTCATGTGTATTGAATTTATTAAATTCAAATTAAACTAATGTTAGTTTCTTGGTTTAGTGTAATAGTAGTACCAGGTACATACAGTTTTATTTTATTTCAATATACAGTATTGCATAGTTGATTTAGTGGTATTTTGGGTATTGTATGGTGCTATTAGGTATAATGGACAAAGTGGTATTATGGTAATATACACCCAAATTAAATCCATCGGTTCTTTATTAGGTATAATGGACAAAGTGGTATTATGGTAATATACACCCAAATTAAATCCATCGGTTCTTTATTAGGTATAATGGACAAAGTGGTATTATGGTAATATACACCCAAATTAAATCCATCGGTTCTTTATTAGGTATAATGGACAAAGTGGTATTATGGTAATATACACCCAAATTAAATCCATCGGTTCTTTATTAGGTATAATGGACAAAGTGGTATTATGGTAATATACACCCAAATTAAATCCATCGGTTCTTTATTAGGTATAATGGACAAAGTGGTATTATGGTAATATACACCCAAATTAAATCCATCGGTTCTTTATTAGGTATAATGGACAAAGTGGTATTATGGTAATATACACCCAAATTAAATCCATCGGTTCTTTATTATTACAGTTGAACTGTGTAAAAGAAATGTAAAAATCTTTTGTAAGCTTCCTCCTCTGTTATCAGTCTTAACTCTCACAAGCTTCACTCATGTAATAGGGAGGATGGGTCGAATGGACGTTGTTGACCGGCGTCTGTTCTGTATTACTGCCATGGACTTCTATGGCCAGCTAGTGGATGACAGCCAGCGCCGGGCTTTCACGTCCACATTCATGGCAGTGTCACAGCCAGGCATCGTGTACCAGGAACTGCTTCAACATATAAACAGTCAGCCCAAGTCTTAGGATAAACTACCCTCTCCGGTAGTAGTCTACTCAAGTGCTAGGACATAATGTCGGCTAGGGAAGTCATGGAAGAGGTGATGCAGTAGTGGCTATGGTTCCAAGCTAAACAGAGAGGACATAGGTGCCAAATACTGCCAACTAGTATAGCCTTTTCTAGCTTTATTGCTTCATATTATTAACAAAGACTGCTTCAAGTGTTCAATCCTCTGCTGCTTCAACTACCAGGTGAAGCATTTCAAGCTCCAGGCTTAGCGCTTCAAGCACCAGGAAGAGCGCTTCAAGCTCCAGGCCGAGCACTTCAAGCACCAGGAAGAGCGCTTCAAGCTCCAGGCCGAGCGCTTCAAGCTCCAGGCAGAACGCTTCAAGCTCCAAAAGAGCACTTCAGGCTCCAGCAAAGTGTTTTGATAATTTAGAACAGTGCATCTTTATAAGTAGGGTGAACCTACATAGACTTTCCTGCTCACAGCTCAACACATATCTTATGTGTGAAAAGGAGTTAGTGTCATTATCATGAAAATCAAAATATGTTTGGAATGAAATCCTTTAGATGTTATTGATATTGAGGAAGCTTCTTGTTATTATTCTGTATCCTTGCCTTGTGAAGGACCGCCCTTTATGTGCTTGCTTGTTAAAGGAATCCAATATCCTTTGGATAAGTCCCTGATCTGGAGGACTGCCTAAAGTATGTCTGTAATATACCTCTTCTAAGTAATACAACTTTATATTAAACTCTTACCAAACGTTTTCTAGCCAAACATCCATTCATCAGATTTGCTCCTTGCCATGCACCCTTACAATCTGATTAGCAGACTTTGACCCTTACCAAGAAACCTTACCATCCGATCAGCAGACTTAACCCTTACCAAGAAACCTTACCATCCAATCAGCAGGCTTTACCCTTACCAAGAAACCTTACCATCCGATCAGCAGGCTTTACCCTTACCAAGAAACCTTACCATCCAATCAGCAGGCTTTACCCTTACCAAGAAACCTTACCATCCAATCAGCAGGCTTTACCCTTACCAAGAAACCTTACCATCCAATCAGCAGGCTTTACCCTTACCAAGAAACCTTACCATCCAATCAGCAGGCTTTACCCTTACCAAGAAACCTTACCATCCAATCAGCAGGCTTTGACCCTTACCAAGAAACCTTACCATCCAATCAGCAGGCTTTACCCTTACCAAGAAACCTTACCATCCAATCAGCTGGCTTCAGTCCTTATGGTGTGCTGTTTTGTACAATAGTGATGATATTTTAACATTTTATTAGAAAACATTTCAATGTGTTTTCTATATAATCTCTACAACAATTTGTAGGGTTAGTTTAGCTGTTCATATAAGGAATGGATGAATCTGTCGAAATACATTTTCAATCCATGACAATTATTATGGTAGCAGGGTCAAATGTTAATCATTCTTGGGTTTGTTTGTGGTCGGGTAGAGTGTAGAGGGAACCTCTAGACATTCCTTTCTAAGGAAGGTTGTACATTGTCTCCATTCCCAAACACAGGAAAAACACAGGAGTACTGTAAGTAATAAACACTGAACTATAAAACATTCCTTCATCAAGCTCTTCTAGGGTTGTTTTCAGTACAGTGATGAGGTTGGTTCTGGTAGTGATTGCAGCAGCATGATGAAAGGTTGAATTATGATATGAATTAAGAAACTAGTGCTACTGGCTGGTACATTCATAATATATTTATAAAGGTGTTATAAGTCAAATTGTGTCAAATTTCGAAGAAACATAAGTAATATTCAACATCATTGTGAGAAATTTTGTTGTTACTGCCAAAGATAAGTAACTAAATGGAAGGTATATGGAGAGTGTGTTGGTGAGAGAGATAACCAAACATGTTTTTAGTCAGTGTTAAACTGGTCTAGATAAACAATGTACTCAAGGTACTGTGGTATCTTATAGATCTGCTTAATACAACAGGCAAGGTTTTCCTTCAGTTTATATCAAGCACAGGATATTTAAAAATACATTTAACTAGCAGTAATAGTGTTTACATATACTAGGTATTTGAACTTCAAGAGTGTGTGGGGTCTATTTGTGTGTTATAGACGAACAAGGTCGAAGGAGTGTTTGTAGTAAATGGTTATCAAGGTCAGAGGAGTGTTTGTAGTAAATGATAATCAAGGTCAGAGGAGTGTTTGTAGCAAATGATGAACAAAGTCAGAGGGATGTTTGTAGTAAATCTGAGTCAGAGGGATGTTTGTATTGATTCTTTGTTCACTATTTATGATGTTGTAATAAGTGCTAATAAGTAATATTCCCTAAATGTGATATGTATATATATATAGAACACCTGAAACTGTTCTCTCTATGAAATGGTTGTACCTGAAACAGGTTTTATAATATTAGTGGTAGGCATCAGGTTACCACAGCTAGTATGATCTCGTGTTATTTTATTGTATAATATTTGTTTGTGATTGAGAATTTGTTTTTTGTGTTATTTAACATTCCATGTTACTGGGTTACAGTGTCACTAATCCTCTCGAGGACATATTGGTGTGATTAAGCTTTAAAGGTCATATCGGTACACGCTTTTTAACTTTTCAAGGTCACATTGGAATAATAATACCGCTCAAGGTCACATCAGTACTTTTAAAGCAAGGTCACATTTTGAGACACAACTTGTCAAGGCCATGTCAGTAAGTTTGTGTGTAGGATGAGGAGATGTAAAAGCATTGTCAGCTTTAGGTGAAGCTGGCTGGAATACTAGTCTGAACTCTTTACTTTCTGTAAACTTGTGTACTTGTGATGTGTCATGTCTATAATCTGTTCATTAATATCTATACACTAGCATAGAACTTGGTAGTCTCCATGCCTATTACCACTGGATGATATTGACTTATGTAGGCATGTGCAATACTGTACAGCAATATCATTTCAACTATTTCGGTTGTTATGCTCAGTTTTTCTGGTTCCTTATTAAAGAACTTGGCCCCTTGGGTTTTTTAATTGCAAATATTGTAAATGTGGTATATTTGTTTTTCTTCGAAAACTGATAGTTTATACCTAAATTTCCTAAACTTTGTTTTTCCTGTATACAATTATAACAATAAAGTGATATGATCAATGAAACTCGTCAGAAAATTTACGGTTATAACTATGTTCCTTGTTTTGGTGTGCCTAGGAATTCTGTTTATATATTCACATGGCTGCTGGAGTGGACTGTGGTGTAAAAATAATCCTGGACAATTTTCATTTTCCTCATTTGACTAGTAATGTTTTTTATGAAATAGGGAACGACAGGCTTACTGGTCCAAATTTGTTTTTTTGACGAGCCTTAATTAGCAAACATTTTTTAAGTGTAACATTTAAAAGCAGACCAGATTATAATTCTAAATCAGCTAAAAGACTTCTGGTGTCTGTCAGTTGTGTTTCCAGAACAGAGGCCTCAGCAGGACTTGTGTGTAAAATAACTTCTGATAAAGGTATTAGAGTGACATTTAGGTGTCCCACAAAATGTGTCATTTATTGTCCTACTTACCAACTCACGCTCAGAATTAATGTGTGTATATACAGCCTAGGGGAAAAATAAATCTTTTAAATCACATCTTTGAGCTGTTCTTTCAGATGAAATCTTTAGCAAATTCACTAAAATGCTCAATTGTAGGGTTCAAAATTTGGAGAGTTTGCAAGTATGTCTTGTACACCATTACAGATCCAAACAAACTGTCAAGGATTACCGTATGTCTTTTACACCATTACAGATCCAAACAAACTGTCAAGGATAATCGAATGTCTTGTACACCATTACAGATCCAAACAAACTGTCAAGGATTATCGTATGTCTTGTACACCATTACAGATCCACACGAACTGTCAAGGATTATCGTATGTCTTTTACACCATTACAGATCCAAACAAACTGTCAAGGATTATCGTATGTCTTCTACACCATTACAGATCCAAACAAACTGTCAAGGATTACCGTATGTCTTTTACACCATTACAGAACCACACGAACTGTCAAGGATTACCGTATGTCTTGTACACCCTTACAAATCCAAACTGTCAAGGATTACCGTATGTCTTGTACCCCATTACAGATCCACACGAACTGTCAAGGATTATAGTATGTCTTTTACACCATTACAGATCCAAACAAACTGTCAAGGATAATCGAATGTCTTGTACACCATTACAGATCCAAACAAACTGTCAAGGATTACCGTATGTCTTTTACACCATTACAGAACCACACGAACTGTCAAGGATTACCGTATGTCTTGTACACCATTACAGATCCAAACTGTCAAGGATTACCGTATGTCTTGTACACCATTACAGATCCACACGAACTGTCAAGGATTACCGTGTCTTGCCCCATTGTTTTGTACGTAATTGATGTGTTTGTAAATCATGTCTTTGTTCTGATCAACTACGATAACTTTCTTGCTGTGTAGAAATAAGTGAACAATTTAATGTCTTTTGGCTTTGAGTCAAGTTGAGTTACTGTTTCATAGTGTGTGTCTTGAATTGAAATCATCAGTAGATAATCGGATTGGGATATTTTAAATGATCTTACCAACACTAGTAGGTAAAGCATTGATGTAAAGTTAGTTTTGTCGCTGAAGTTATTCAGTTAACTGGGAAATTCTCCCAGTGATATTCGCTCGTCACTGTTAAAGCCAATTTTGCCCAATGTTAATTGCATAGTTGAATTTTATTTTGTGTACGGGTGGAAGAGAAACTGGCAAAACTTTTTAGTGCACAGAATTTCTTGTGAATATACATTTTTTTATCAGATATATATTGTTAATCAGACTAGTTTAATTGGTGGTACATTCCTTGTCAAATTATCTTTTATCATTTTAATCCTTGTAATTCCTGGATCTGATCTGTAAGACTAAAGGATTCTTCGAGTTCCGTGGTGTCGACAGTTAGGCTGGTCTAGTTAGAAGTTTGAGGGAATTAGGATGTTAGACTAGTCTACACAAATGTTTCAGGGGCTAGAGGTTAGACTAGTCTATCTAGACCAATCCATACAAAAGTTTGTGGAGGTTAGACTAGTCTACTCCAAGGTTTGTGGGGATGGGGGTTAGAAATTATGGTGGTCTAGCTAAACAAAGGTTTATGAGGTTTAGAGGGTAGCCTAGTGTACCACGAGGATTTGTAGGGGTTAAGAGGTTAGACTGACCCACTCCAAGGTTTGTGGGGGCTAGAGGGCAGTCTAGTCTGACGCATGGTTTATAGGGGTTAGAGGATATGCTAGTCTACTCTTATGTTTGTAGCGGTAAGAGATTAGTCTAATTCACTCCAAGGTTTGTGGGGGCTGGAGGACAGTCTAGTCTACCCCATGGTTTATAGGGGTTAGAGGTTATGCTAGTCTACTCTAATGTTTGTAGGGGTAAGAGATTAGTCTAATCCACTCCAAGGTTTGTTGGGGTTAGATGTTAGGCTAATCTGCTTCAATGTTTGTGGGACAAGAGGCTAGATTAGTCTACTCAGAGGATTGTGTGGGTAAGAGGATAGCCTACGTAGTCTTAAAGTCTAAGGGTGTTAGGAGGTTAAACTGACTCCTAGGTTTGTAGGGACTAGGCAATAGACTGGTCTACTCCAGTGTTTGAGGATGTTACAGATTAGATTAGTCTACTCCAAGGTTTATGAGGGATACAGACTAGATTTATCTTGTCCCAAAATTTGTGAGGATTACAGGTTGGACTAGTTTACTCCAATATTTAACTGTCAGGCTTACAGATTTTATGTAATACACTGAAGGTGCTGTCCATTCAATAACTAGTCTCGTGTCAGTAGACATGTTGAGAGTGGATGGTGTAGATCGGCACACTTTTACGTACATCTAATATGCTTCACCATATTTGAGACATGTGCTTGTGTTTGATGATACATGTACTGGTATTTCTATGTATGATTAAAATTCTACAATTAAGTTCAGGTGTTGTGGTTGTATATTCTGTCCAAGTTCAAGGAAACAGATAAGCCATAGATTACACTTTGGGAATGATATTGTCAGAAGATTTTACTGCTATTTGTTACAATTGTAAAACTTGTGTACTTCAAATTGTTATATGCAAGTAATGTCAATGTTTAAAGTAAAATAGGGTTTTTGGCCGGATCGCAACGCAATCAGAGCTTATAGATTGGCGATTCCAGTCCGTCCGTCTGCCCGTCTGTCTGTCTGCGCTAAGGTTAAGAAGAAAGGTTAAGCTCAGTTTCCAAGTTATCAATTATCCCACATCTACTAAACTTGCATGGCTTATGTATCTAAGGATGCTTATCACATGCGATGCTTCGGATGCTGCTTCTGACCTTAATTTTCTGCTTGACTGACCAGGTTAAGAAGATTGGTTGAGATCAGGCCCCATCTGCATTACGGTTAAGAAGATTGGTTTAGGTCACTTACCAAATAACTATATGTCCTACATCAACCAAATTTGCATGGCTTATGTATCTAAGGATGCTTATCACATGGGATGCTTTGGATGCTGGTTCTGACCTTCATTTTCCGCTTCAGTGACCAGGTTAAGAAGATTGATTAAGGTCAGTTACTAAGTAACTACTTGTTGTATATCAGCTTAACTTGCATGGCTTATGTATCCTAAAGGATACTTATCACATGTGATGCTTTACATGAGAATGTACTGTGGCATTCCGGCCATATCACCATTGGCTGTTTCTTGTTTGAGAGTCTTATATGACAAGTTCAGTTAATATTTGACTTGCTGATATTTTCATGATTATGAAAACTGAAAAAACATGCATATCATCCTGGGATTAAAAATGATCAATGTAAGAAAATCTGCAGCTATGGTAGCGGCCAGGGGCGATATTTTTGTACAATGAATAACCCATGTAATATTACATGTATCAAAATAAAAAAATAAAATCAACACTAAAATTGGCACATACATGATGAAGTTGACTATGTGGGCTTCACATTTATAAAAAAAAAACAGAATTTGGTTTGAGACTACATTTTTGGCCATTTGCAAATCTGTGTCTTCACAACAAAAGCTAGCTGTTCAGGTGTGGTCTATTTTTGTACTCAATTTAAGACGAGTTTAAGAAAAAAAATACTATTTGCGTGGGTCAAATTTTGGGTTAAAAATCATGTTTTTTTGCATTTTTTTGCATTTTTTGATGTGGTAACCAAGTCCCAAATCACTTCTTCTAAAAAAAATGTATTCAAAATGTAGTTTATAAATATATATATATATATGTAGGTGTGTTGTGCAGGATGAAAGAACTATCCATGTTCATCTGAGACATGCCCTTTATTTTTAGAATCAAGCCATTTCTACTGTACTCTGCTACCTTATACACATAGATATTGAATTTTTCTGAAAAAATGCCTTTTGAAACAAAATTAATTAAAAAAAAATGTCTTGATAGTTAAGCTTGATGTACCTAGTCTGTTGTTGCTTGTAAATGATAGAGTAGCAAAAGGATTTTCATTACTGACAGCATTCATCTGAGCAATTCAGTCATGAACACAGTAGTACAAATGATCAGAATTAAAGCTGACATTGTATAAAATTTATCAGCACGGTCTAAATACTACAGATATAGTGGGACTGCACTGCCTGATTACTGACAGTACTGCTGACAAAGAAGCTCAAGTTTGTTAGAGTGATTGTGAAGAGTTCGGAGGTCCTGGGTTCCAATCCTGGTCTGGCCTCGTTACTTTTTCTCTATCCTATTATCCAGAGCTGTTGTAATTGTCCCATGAAGACTTCACATGTGATTACCATTACAACAGTCTAGAGTCTTACTGCAGTCTAGCAGACCTAGAGGATGGCAATGTTCTACTCCATCCAAGGGAGACTACTTCATTCAGTTTCTTTACATAAGAGTTCCTTAGTAACGAGCAATGATGTTGTTATGGTAACCTCAGTAGAAGTCTTCAGGAGATGGTTCTCAATAATAAAATAAAATGTTGTCTTTGATTTAAATCCTTTATTCAATCAACAAGTACGGTTCTAAAATGTCATATAAATTAGAAGCTATCTAGAAGACAATGCCCACATTGTTGTTTGAGTCTTGTGTGATCTTTTACCAAGTTTCTGACTAGGAAGAGTGGGTGAGATTAGTTTCGAGATAGCTTCCAAATTAACCGAGCGTAACCTACGCATGTAGTGTATTGGATCTACCTACAAATCAACGAGTCATCACAATCAACATGAGCATTTTCATACTAGCATTTTATGTACATATCAAAGTCTCCCTAACCCTCAGCCTGACCAGACTATCAGTGCTCGCCTTTTGTTAGCAGATGTACTGTGGAGCTTTAATTTCTACAAAAAAATCTCCATGGATATTTATCTGTAGAAGGAACATGTCTCTTGAATTTATACATGAGTAGATATCTGAAAAGACAAAACTTTTATAACAACTGAATTAGCATTATATTTTCAAGATATATATTTGTTCAAATATTTAAAAAAGATGGCAAGCTACCTTTTAAAGAAGATAGTATTTCATAAGGAATTTGAGATGATATAAACTTCTGTTCAGTTACATACATGTAGTTTTAAATGTTTAAACAGAAGAACTGTGAAGGAGTATTGTTGATGTAGATAAATGGAGGTGGATGGTTTTCACAGGTCAAGCCAGGCTGGGTATAGAGACAGACTAATTCTACAGACAGAATGTCCTGTAAAGTCACCGCAATCCAGTGACATAGTACACAAACACACAATAAGGAAGTACATACTGAGGATACATGACCATCTGACAAACTGACAACACACCACAACCAGTCTTAACTGACACCTGTTGGACTCCCACAGTTGGTCAATATAGGCACTGTGTCATATTACACAGGTTTAATAAGGTTCTTAGTGTTGCATGTGTCATGGACTATCAAAACATTTGGATCGGACAGTGACATAAGGACGAACAACCAGATAGGGATGGTGGAATGGGTGGGCCAGATAGGACAGGTTCTGGTGTACCTGTCCAATTTGTCAGGTTGTAATAGAGCTAAGTACAATACATTTTTTTTTTTATATTAAAAACTGAAATATAAATAATCATTCATATTTGAACATGTTTATATCACACATGGATGTAGTACACAGTGATTTATACAACAACGGACTGAACATAAAGGTATTCTCGTGTCATCGCATAAATCACATTATAACCACAGACTGGGCCATGATGGTCATGTACACAGGGCCATAATAGTCTGGTATTGGTACAGCGCGCCATTATAACAGTCAGTGGAACGCCAGGCCATGACAGCCTGTGGTACGCCCGGCCATGACAGCCTGTGGAACGCTGGGCCATGACCGGCCGTGATTACGTCGGGCCATTACAGCCCACAATACGCCAGCCAAAGACAGCCTGAGGTACACCCGGCCATGACAGCCTGTGGTACATCGGGCCATGACAGCCTGTGGTACGCCGGGCCATGACAGGCCGTAATTATGTCGGGCCATGACAGCCTGAGGAACGCTGGGCCATGACAGTACTACAGATTACTACAGTACACCGGCCAAAGACAGCCTGTGGTACACCCGGCCATGACAGCCTGTGGAACGCCGGGCCATGACAGCCCATGATTACGTCGGGCTCTGCCAGCTTGGTACTATTACAGCAGGCCATGACTGGTCAAACTGATGTACAAATGATACAAGTCTTCAAATGCAGCATGATAGTTGAGTATAGCGATTTTGTACTTTTAATGAATGGCTGTTTTAAAATTTGATTGAATGCATCATAACAGATCCCGTTATAACCCAGTCATGGCCCACAATTAGAAAAAGAGAAGTAAGAACGATGGCTATAGAAATATACATGAGGGTATAACAAAGTTAGGACTAACATCAACAATAGTCTGATATCTCCACTGACAAACTCAGACAGGATCAACGCTACAGACTAAGCAATGTCTATCAGTATTATAACAGTCCATTCTGAACAGTGACTTTGGATATAGGAAAGTAAGTAACTGCTTGGCAGTGTTCTGTAATACATTATATATTGTAATACATTATATACTGTAATACGTTATATACCATAATACATTATATATTGTATTACATTATATACTGTACTATGTTATGAAACATAATACATTAACATACATAATTTTCTGAAATACATTGATATACATAACATAATGTAATACAAGTGGAATATTATGCTTTATAATGATTAACAAATTGTTACAAACTAAAAAAAATATTAACAACTTATTTTATAACAACAATAACAAGAAATAAAATGTAAAGTATACAACAACAATATCAACTCCTAAACATTAATTCCCATGTCACAACTCGAGAGATCAGTGTCAATGTGACTGAGTTATACTGAAATATCAACAGCAAGTCATTACCAAGAGATTCATTACTATACTCATAGTCTAGAATACAGAACAGTTTGTAAGGAATGATGATGTGTACTTGTACGGTCTGTGTGACTGGCATGGATTGAAGGGTGGAGTATTAGTTCAAGGTCACAGCAACAAAAACTAGAGCAACAACAAACATGGAACACAGAGGTTTTTGAGGACAGTTTCAAATGTACAACTTCAGTATTTCAGATCAAATAGTTTTCTTTTTTGATTAAAAGTTGCAATAAGTAAAGAATGATGCACTAACCTTGAACTATTGACACTGTCACACAAGGGCAGACAACCCTGATGGCTGTCACACAAGGGCAGACAACCCTGATGGCTATCACACAAGGGCAGACAACACTGTTGGCTGTCACACAAGGGCAGACAACCCTGTTGGCTGTCACACAAGGGCAGACAACCCTGATGGCTGTCACACAAGGGCAGACAAACCTGATGGCTATCACACAAGGGCAGACAACCCTGATGGCTATCACACAAGGGCAGACAACACTGTTGACTGTCACAAAAGGGCAGACAACCCTGTTGGCTCGAGATATTTGACAGTCAGTCACAACCAGTTATTATGAGCTCACTGGAATGTATTAATGATTTAAAAGTCACACTTAACTGGTGTTTCTTAAACACCTCAAACCACTTACTTCACTGTGAAAGACGACTATACTGCACTGTAACAAGTTCTAACAACAATGTACATAGTATCATCAAGCAAAATTAAAGCTGAATATAAATCAATGCACAACAAATGTAATTTGCATATTTGTGATTTGTTAGTAGATTTGTTAGGTTGATAAATGATAAGAACTGTACCAAACCAGAAAATTCCGGGTCTAGATTGATTCTGATGGATATATAAAGGTAGGGGTCTGGATTGGTCCCAACTGGTCCTAATTAGGCTGGGGCCTACAATGGTCTGTTGGTTCTAAGGAGGGGGTTAGAGTGTTCCTCCTGGTCAAGCTAAGGTAGGGGTCTAGTTAGGTCAGAACTGTCCTCAACAGGAGTATAGCACTACCCCCATTGGTCATAGTAAGGTAAGGTCTATTTGGATTTTTCATATGAGTGACAAATACAGAGTAAATAACATCAGGTGACTTACAACAGCAATCTATTTCCCCTAAAGATAGGGTAAAAATTGATAATTAGTTACTCTGTACTCTTTCTACTTCAAATCCGATCACCCTACTTCAAAACAGAAATCTCACTTCTTTGAGTTTCAAAGGCATCACATGTATGTGCAACTATAATAATTAATGATGAAAAATTTGCTTTCTATAATTTGTATTCCGTATACAAATAACTGATTTTTTTTGGTGTTTTTAATACAGGATAGCAATTTTCTGTGTGTAGACACCAGGTTTGAAATGGGAGCAGACAGAAAGTTCATAGTGACTAGCAGGGTACTTACTACACAATACCTAACATGGGTCATCCCAAATAAAAAGGAGACAAATTATTCCATTGTTCATCTGGTGCAAAAATGTCTCTTCAAACATGATTAAATAAAAATAATTGCATATTTGATAAAACTGACCACTCGCTTTCATCTGCATGACACATACACTCCTCAGCTATATCTGAAAATTTTATTCATATAAACCCAGAAATAACTCCAATCCTACCTGAAGGACTCGGGACTGGAAACAAGATAGTTGTCTGATAGCCACTGTGATTCCTGATCAATTAGTGTATACTTCCTGTGTTACCGTACTACATTTAACCTTATCAGTGCCCTTTACCAGTGTCAACTGTAGTGACTTTAATAAACACCCTGGGTATTTAGCAGTTTAGAGAAAATAATATTAACAGAACTTTCCAAATTTCTTAAAAAAATTACATAATTATACCCCTTTATGAAGTAAGATTGTAAAGGTATGGTGAAGGGATGGAATGAGAATTTGGGGCATTTTAAGGGATTCAGCATTTATTTGGTCAAATATGACACATATTTCTATATTGAATCATAGCTACGGTATTGCCATTTTACCTCATTAGAGCCCAGTGCTATACTATACCAGTATAATCAACACTTCAGGTTTTCATTAGGTATCACATAGTCATCAACCTCTTTCTGTCAAAAACAATCCCATCTGTATGTGGCCCACCTCTCTCTCTCTGTCAAAAACAATCCCATCTGTATGTGGCCCACCTCTCTCTCTGTGTCAAAAGTCTAACATGTCAGAATGTGTCCCCACCTTTCCCTCCATGGGTCAAAAGTCCACCCCATCAGAATGTCTCCCTCTATTCCTGTGTGTCAAAAGTCCACCCCATCAAAATGTCTCCCTCTCTTTTTGTGTGTCAAAAGTCCACCCCATCATAATGTCTCCCTCTCTTTCTGTGTGTCAAAAGTCCACCTGGTTTTCTAAATCTAATAAAGTTTGTTCCTTAATCTATTTTGTATCCCATTTTTTATCATCATTACTAGTGGATCTACTTGATAGTGGGCACTGGCTATGTTAAATGATGTACAGGGTAAACCATGTCTAGTTCACTGTCTACTGACAGGAAACGTTTCTACTATGTATAATATTTAATTCTGTCAACTGCTCGTTTATGTACAATTATAAGAGTTTTAGTTGGTTGCAAAGTTTGTACATCTTCATATAATGAATTTTGTTAAAATATTCTGATTTTTTTTTTAAAACAAAGATCTCATTTCCCTTTATAATGTATCTTAATCTTCCATCTTAATCGCGCTTACTCGAGATACGAGTTAGGAATATAAACAGGTCATTGACCTACTAGGTCAATGTGGACCCAATGTGTCTGTTTCTGAATCATTCAAAGTTCATGCGAAACTCATCTTATATTTTATTGAAAACATATCAGAAATGTCATATCAACAGTATCTTTTTCTCGAAAAGATAGTTTTAAAATTAAATATGTCTGCCATCATTTATACAAAACATAAAGAAAAAGCATAAATTGTATATGAAAGTATTGATAATTAAATATACAAATGTACAATATAAAATCTTACATTTGTCTAAATATCAAGAGAGATCATTTGGAATATCCTGCCCATAAAATATACAGGATGCTGATCCTAGTTCACTTGAGAGGTCTGCCAGCTCTTTTGATAAGACCGATTCCAGCTCACTGGAATCTGATTCTATCTCCATAGAAAAGTCTGACAGCTCACTTGAGAGGTCTGACTCCAGCTCATTTGTGAGTTTATCAACACCTCTCAGCTCACTCCTAATGTGAGCAAGGCCTCATGCTATGGAACAGGGAAAAAACCTCAGTTCACTATTTCAAAATGAGGCAATACTCTCAGCTTTCTTTCAATCAAGGCAATGCCCTGAGAATAAGACTGTGCAGGGCATTGCCTTTAGTCTATGAACACTGGAGACCTCTACTTTATACCCAAACTACACCTGTGCATTGCATATATCTATTTTGATATATTTGAATATCATGTAATTATATGAAATTATCAAAACTTAAACCCCTAAACCATCTCGTTCTCTAGCACAGGGATATTGTCACCATCATTAATGCTAGCATATTTCATTTCCAATACATCTACTGAAATATTATTTGGGAGGAAGTAAACAGCTCATACAAGTTATAAGAGCAATGTTTGAATTACAGAATAACATTTTAAAACATTCCTATAGTTATCATTTTCTTTTCCCTTCTTTATAAATTTCATTTTTACTCTTCTTAATTTACAAAATTTAATGTTAACCAAGACATTATTTGTAAGATGATAAAAGAGAGTTCTCTCCCCTTATGTGATGGTGACAACATTAGCTGATCTAAGAATCTCTGCCATACCACAATGCCCTACATGTCTCGCGCTCACAACATTTATGCATAAGTTGTACAGGTCCTAGTCTACAGACCGTGGCCATCTCCATCCTGTTCTGCACACTGCTGGCACTAGAAAACAACCGCACACAACTATAAATAAAATATTTCTACAAAAGATCTGTACATTTATTTTAAAAGTCATCGATACCACTGTTTTTTTATGTTAATATAGGTTTTACAGTCCCTTTTTAAACAATGAAGTTCTCTAACAAAATTCCCTTTGAAGTATTTTAAAATATGTTTTGTCACATTTTCTGCTGGATAAATGTTAAGTTTATATCTCCAGAATCTATAGTTATCATAGAGTATAAATAACATCACATCATCTTTATGTTTACATAAAAATGTAATCCTTATCCTAAAATTTTCTTCGCCATTTTATAAAAAATATTTTTTTTCAAAATAAAATAATGTACATAACTTCGATCCCATCACTTCAGTTGTAAAAATATACCCAACTTTACTCATTAACTGAAGCATACCCACAAGATGATAAGTGATAAAAGAAATGATGGAGTAGATGCCGGGTACAATGCATGCATTTTGTAGGGATATGTTATGTCTAGCTACTGTTTAGTCTTTGTGGATCAGTATAATGGTCACAGCAAGCCACAAAAACATCCATCTAGACAGGATCCCATCGCATGCCTCAGCAACAACAACTTTAACCATAGCAACATGCAAACATTAACAGCAGCAAGGTCTGTTTGTAATAAGTATTGTTTTAGCTAAAGTATACAATTTACTAGTTATCACCAAATTCAGGAAAGAAAAAAACCTAACATAAGGCTGTTAAAAAGTGGCAGATATTAGGACAGGTTATACATTCTTAACATTGGGACAACATATTAATGTAAAAGGAAATCCTTTTAAAATGGAAAAGCAGTCCAATCCTGAGGGCAATGCAGAACCTGTTGAAAAAGGAGGTAAAGGGCTATGTAAAGCTGTTCTGAAGATTGATGATAACCAATTCAACTGAGTCTGGAAAAAACACCATAATAAAATTCAAAGATTTGTTTTGTCTTTTTATCTGGTTTGATGGCAGTAGCTTGATTCAAGGAGGATAACCTAGTCTGATAGGGGTAACCCAAGGGGGATAACCTAATCTGATAGTGGTAACCCAAGGGGGATAACCTAGTCTGATAGTTGTAACCCAAGGGGGATAACCTAGTCTGATAGTGGTAACCCAAGGGGGATAACCTAGTCTGATAGTGGTAACCCAGTTCCAGGGGATAGACCTGGTCTAATAGTAGTAACCCAAGAGGGATAATCTAGTCTAAAAGTAGTAACCCAACAGAGATAACCTAGTCTGATAGTGGTAACCCAAGGGGGATAACCTAGTCTGATAGTGGTAACCCAAGGAGGATAACCTAGTCTGATAGTGGTAGCCCAACGGGGATAACCTAGTATGATAGTGGAATCCAAGGGGGATAACCTAGTCTGATAGTGGTAACCCAGTTCCAGGGGATAGACCTGGTCTAATAGTAGTAACCCAAGGGGGATAAACAAGTCTGATAGTGGTAACCCAAGGGGGATAATCTAGTCCCTGTTCCAGGGGTAGCCTAGTATGACAATGGTAACCAAGACCAAGAGGGATAGCCAGTGTGTTGGCAATAACTTAACAGGGAATAATTATGTGAGATGGGAGCTATTCTGTCTGGTGTTAGTATAATGGAGTTTCCCAATCATAATGGGGTAAACTTGTCTGATGACAGTACCGGTCAAAATTTCACTGTAAAGGAGACAGCAAACCTCACTTTGATTGGAACAGGAAATAACTCTGCCTCCACCCCAAGGGAGATAATCCAGGGGAGATAATTCAAATAAAAGATACTTGTATTACAGCACAACACGTTCACAACACCAAGGTGGCAGAACAACAATAGCAAGGACAATCAGTGAGTAACAGACTGAGTTACTGCTGACAGAACAACATGGAGGTGAGAGGCTAGTTACTACGGTGCATCACACAACTGGGAGAATTACTTACATAAGAAAGCAAGCCTTGCCCTATCTCACTGTAGTGTACACTTTTCAGTAACCTCCCCAACACTAGTGACCACTTTCGATTTGAATTCATCAAGACTTTTTGGCACTGGAAAACATAAAGAAAACTCATTGGATCCATGTCATTTCTTTGTTCCTGATATTAGTAATTTGATTTTATATTGAATTTGAATGTAATTTTTTAAATGAAAATATTAAATTAAAAATGTATTTCATTAGTAACAGTAATTGATTTAATGTTGAGTCAATTATTTGCTGTTATGATTATTTTTGTTACTTAATTCTGCCTTTTCCTAATTGTTTGATGTTGTCTGAGTAACTAGACTAAATGATTTTGATAATTACAGAAAACAGGCTACATAAAAGTGTTCCCAAACTTCAAAGGTACACTGAATTTAACACCTTGGTAGGTACAGTAATAGTACTACATATGTATACATAAACTGCAACACACTTCCCTGAAAATAATACAACTTGTTATAGAATATAAATATCTCTTTTTACTTATTAAATCAACCCCTGAGAATAAACTATAAAGAATTATTTAAAGCTAATTACAGGTTATCAAGGTTTCCATTGGAAGGTTTATATCAATGCTGGAACAATTGGGACAACTCAAGATAAGAAGCAACAAAATAAAGTAGATTTAGAAGATAATGAAACAGAAAAGTCAGGATGAAAAACGCAGTACATACAGACAAAATCGTAGTAAGAAATGGGAGAGAAAAGGTAATGAAATCCTGTACAGTCTGCTCTGTAATAATCTAGGGACTCTAGGTGATATCATGTATGGCCGGGCAGCATGTGTTCAACAGCCACTAAAGTCACATAATAAATTCTATTTTGAGGTAGTATTAATAGGTCCATTATTATCTTTGAATGGACTAATTAAAACAAATTGAAGAAAAACAATTCTTCTATAAACTAAGCTAAATGGAGTTACCTCCCCTCAGTGGAGCTGAGTTACCTCCCCTCAATTTACCAAAGAGACACAGCAATGGTGGCAATGTGAAAGAAGTTAGCATTATAAGAAAATAAAGTATAAAGTGGAATATTTACAAGTGATTAAAGATAAGATCAGGAATGTTTCAAACAAACGTTTAACACCAAGGAATATAAAGAGTAAAATAAACATTATTCTAGACTTTTACACGACAAAGAGAATTAAAAAAAAATGAAAACTGACAAATATTTTTATTAGTATTTAAATATGAACTTGTGATGTGCAGTGCGTAATCTCACACAATGAAGTAATTGTCATGGTGTGACCCTATAACCTCTACTTTTTCTCAATTCTCTCAAAACGAAGTGATACGCTTGCCATGATGTGCCCCTAAAACTCCAGCCCTCTCACAATCAAAATTATACCGGTGTGACTCTATCCAGTGCTTTATCTAAAACCTCCCACAATGAAATGATACAGGTGCGATGGTGTGACCCTATCCTCTCCAGTACTTTATCTAAAACCTCCTACATTGAAGTGATACAGGTGCCCTGGTGTGACCCTATCCTCTCCAGTGCTTTAACTAAAACCTCCCACAATAAAATGATACAGGTGCCCTGGTGTGACCCTAGCCTCTCCAGTGCTTTATCTAAAAGCTCCCACAACGAAATGATACTGGGGCCAGGGTGTGACCCTATCCTCTCCAGTGCTTTATCTAAAACCTCCCACAACGAAATGATACTGGGGCCAGGGTGTGACCCTATCCTCTCCAGTGCTTTATCTAAAACCTCCTACATTGAAGTGATACAGGGGCCCTGGTGTGACCCTATCCTCTCCAGTGCTTTATCTAAAACCTCCCACAATGAAATGATACAGGGGCCAGGGTGTGACCCTATCCTCTCTGGTGCTTTATCTAAAACCTCCTACAATGAAATGATACAGGTGCCCTGGTGTGACCCTATCCTCTCCAGTGCTTTATCTAAAACCTCACAAAATGAAAAGATACAGGGGCCAGGGTGTGACCCTATCCTCTCCAGTGCTTTATCTAAAACCTCCCACATTGAAATGATACAGGTGCCCTGGTATGACCCTATCCTCTCCAGTGCTTTATCTAAAACCTCCCACAATGAAGTGATACAGGTGCCCTGGTATGACCCTATCCTCTCCAGTGCTTTATCTAAAACCTCCTACAATGAAGTGATACAGGGGCCAGGGTGTGACCCTATCCTCTCCAGTGCTTTATCTAAAACCTCCCACAATAAAAATAATGATACAGGTGCCCTGGTGTGACCCTATCCTCTCCAGTGCTTTATCTAAAACCTCCTACATTGAAGTGATACAGGGGCCAGGGTGTGACCCTATCCTCTCCAGTGCTTTATCTAAAACCTCCCACAATGAAATGATACAGGGGCCAGGATGTGACCCTTTAGAAGTATTTGTCCTGTGATACACTGATTCATACAATGAAAAATGATAATTTATACAATCATTTTTGGAAGAAACTATGTTGCATCTGTATTTTGCTTTTCTTAGATGCATTATATTTAAATATAGTTACGACGAGGATTATTCATTGACAGTGTGATGGGTTGTTTACAGGTGTTTTACACAAATATTGCACCCACACCCACACCCCCACACCCACACACACTGGTAAATGGCACAATAAGACTCAGCTAATAGCTAATAGTAAAAAACAAAACATCATTGAAGTTGAACATCACACAAACACACAAACACATATTTATAGTTTATTTGATAATTTAAATTTTTAAGAAAAATGGCTAAGAAAAAATTATTTCAGAACACAATAAAATTGATAATAATCTTGCTTTGGAAGAATTTAGCCAACATCTTTTGTCAGAACACCCAAAGAAACTGAATGTGCTGTCATCTTAATCCGAGGTGTGTGAGATATTACTTGTTTCAGTGTAACTGATTTGAGGTGTGTGAGATATTACTTGTTTTAGTGTAACTAATCCGAGGTGTGTGAGATATTACTTGTTTTAGTGTAACTAATCCGAGGTGTGTGAGATATTACTTGTTTTAGTGTAACTAATCCGAGGTGTGTGAGATATTACTTGTTTTAGTGTAACTAATCCGAGGTGTGTGAGATATTACTTGTTTTAGTGTAACTAATCCGAGGTGTGTGAGATATTACTTGTTTTAGTGTAACTGATCTGAGGTGTGTGAGATATTACTTGTTTTAGTGTAACTGATCTGAGGTGTTTGAGATATTACATGTTTAAGTGTAACTAATCTGAGGTGTGTGAGATATTACTTGTTTTAGTGTAGCTGATCTGAGGTGTTTGAGATATTACATGTTTAAGTGTAACTAATCTGAGGTGTGTGAGATATTACTTGTTTCAGTCTAACTAATCTGAGGTGTGTGAGATATTACTTGTTTCAGTGTAACTGATCTGAGGTGTGTGAGATATTACTTGTTTTAGTGTAGCTGATCTGAGGTGTTTGAGATATTACATGTTTAAGTGTAACTAATCTGAGGTGTGTGAGATATTGCTTGTTTTAGTGTAACTGATCTGAGGTGTGTGAGATATTACATGTTTTAGTGTAACTAATCCGAGGTGTGTGAGATATTACTTGTTTCAGTGTAACTGATCTGAGGTGTGTGAGATATTACTTGTTTCAGTCTAACTAATCTGAGGTGTGTGAGATATTACTTGTTTTAGTGTAACAAATCCGAGGTGTGTGAGATATTACTTGTTTTAGTGTAAATGATCTGAGGTGTTTGAGATATTACATGTTTAAGTGTAACTAATCTGAGGTGTGTGAGATATTACTTGTTTTAGTGTAACTAATCCGAGGTGTGTGAGATATTACTTGTTTTAGTGTAACTAATCTGAGATATTTCTTGTTTTAGTGTAACTAATCCGAGGTGTGTGAGATATTACTTGTTTCAGTCTAACTAATCCGAGGTGTGTGAGATATTACTTGTTTCAGTGTAACTAATCTGAGGTGTGTGAGATATTACTTGTTTTAGTGTTACTAATCTGAGGTGTGTGAGATATTACTTGTTTTAGTGTAACTAATCAGAGGTGTGTGAGATATTACTTGTTTTAGTGTTACTAATCTGAGGTGTGTGAGATATTACTTGTTTTAGTGTAACTGATCTGAGTTGTGTGAGATATTACTTGTTTTAGGGTAACTAATCCGAGGTGTGTGAGATATTACTTGTTTCAGTGTAACTAATCCGAGGTGTGTGAGATATTACTTGTTTTAGTGTTACTAATGCGACTTTCAGTTGATCATTTCTAAAGCTGATACATAAGCACCAGGTATAAGGAATGAGCACTGTTTTTCTACTTACAAATATTTTACAAATTAACATTGGTTTCTATTGCACCAGCAGATTATATATACCGCTACAGGATAAAGTCAGAGGATTCACTTTTCCTTGAACACATTTATGTCATGATTCATGACATGATGAAATACTGCATTCTTATTCTAGGACAAGAAGATAACTCATATGGCTGATAAAGCACCAGCTGAGAAGTAACTATATCAAAATATACTTCATTGTTGGTTTGTTATAACAGTAAATATGTGTCATCTGACACAACTACAGGTGACACAGTTGTAGTTCTTAACAATAATGTCACTGTACACATGTGTCAAAGTAGACATGTATCAGTATACACAGGTATCACTGTATACATGTAGCTATACACAAATGTCACTATACACAGGTGTCAATGTACACATGTGTCACTGTATACATGTAGCTATACACATGGGTCATGGCACACAGGTATCACAGTACACATGGGTTGCTATACACACATGTCAATATACACAGGTGTCACTGTACACAGGTGTAAATGTACATAGGTATCACTGTACACAGGTGTCACTGTACACATGGGTTGATATAAACAGGTGTCAATGTACACTTTACAAGGGTGTTACCTTCTTGCACCCTATCAATTGCTTGCACTTCAGAAGAACACAAGTAACTTACATAAAACGCACTTACTGTACCTAGCACTTATATAGAAGCTGAAATCAAACAGTTCTTACAGAATGTAGCACTAAAATGAAGACTTAATGGCAAACAATGTTTTTGTTATATTTATGTGTCTTTAATATTGAATTATAAACTTTAGAATTACCCACCTGTGTTTGAACCAAAGTTTAAACCTGGTATGAAGATGAAGTATGAGAAACCATGGTTGCATCATCAAACAAAGGTTACATCTACAGGTAACCTACAGTGTAGGTAACCATGGTTACAATTACAAACAATGGTTTCATCTAAAGGTAACCTACAGTGTAGGTAACCATGGTTACAATTACAAACAAAGGTTACATCTACAGGTAACCTACAGTATAGGCAACCATCAGGGTACAATTACAACCAATGGTTACATCTACAGGTAACCTACAGTGTAGGTACCCATGATTACAATTACAAACAAAGGTTACATCTACAGGTAACCTACAGTGTAGGTAACCATGGTTACAATTACAAACAATGGTTACATCTACAGGTAACCTACAGTGTAGGTAACCATGGTTGAATGTATACTGTAGGTAACCTTGGCTTCATTTACAGATTAGGTTACCCTAGTTACATTTACAAAATAAGTAACCATGGCTTAATTTACAGTGTAAGTAATTAAGGCTACATTTGCAGTGTAAGGGAACCACTGTTATTAATAGTGTAGGTAACCTTTACTACATATACAATGTAGGTAACAATGGCTACGTTTATGATGCAGGTAACAATAGCTACATTTATGATGCAGGTAACCATGGCTACATATACAATGTAGGTTACCATGGCTACATTTACGATGCAGGTAAACATGGCTACATATACAATGTAGGTTACCATGGCTACATTTACGAAGCAGGTAATAATGGCTACATTTATGATGCAGGTAACAATAGCTACATTTACGATGAAGGTAACAATGGCTACATTTACGATGAAGGTAACAATGGCTACCTTTACGATGAAGGTAACAATGGCTACATTTACGATGAAGGTAACAATGGCTACCTTAACGATGCAGGTATTTATGATACAGGTAACCATGGCAACTTTACAATGTAAGTTAGCATGGCTACATAAAAAGTGGGTTGAAAAGGGTGTGTATTTTATTCCAATGACCAGTTAAATAACCATTACTGATAAAAGACAGGTTGGTAAGAAGAGAAATTCTTGAAATTAACATTAAATCTTCACACAACATTAATAACATTTTGTGCTGGCCACTCATAGATTTTTCTATCAACAATTCATTTTTTTACCTTTTTTATGTATATATATATTTACATCAATTTTAACAGTTAAAATGAATATAATTTAAAATGTACACTATGCATACCTTCCCTACCCTATACAATACATTGGATCGATTCAACCACACAAAGAGGACTCTCCATTGTGATATATAGGGGAGGGCGTCAATGCTATAATAACTACACAATCTAAAGCTACGGTGAACACACTATTTGTTGTAAATGATCTTGATAGAGCCACAATATCACTTCACACAATGATATAAATATAACTTTATTACTAAAATTGATTTTTATTATCTTTTTATGTATTTGGTAATTGCATTTCCTTTTAATTTATATGGTAACTGTAAACACTTGAGCCTATTCCAGATATGTCTGTACATGTATAGTGGTAGTTTAATATGCTCATTGATTCATAATCATACACAGCATTGAGACATTTTGTCAAATGTATCACATGTTGCTACAAGGAATAAAACAAGCCTGCTAATGTAGTTAAATTCAAAGTATCTAATTTTTATTTCGTGTGATAAAATTTTGGTCATACTTAGAAACTGTAGGTTTATAAATTAGCTGATTATATCATTCATCATTGATAAAATGTAATATATGAGACACACAAGAGAAATATCAGTTATAAGTGGAGCCTCTTGCTCTATCTAAGTGAAATATAAATTACAATGACTTATGATGTAAGGGGCGTAACTCTCACTCCTAATGAAGACATGTTGTCTGTATGGAGCCCTGGGCAGACAGAACAATCTGTGATAATATGACGACTAGAGTTCTGTTCTGATGATTATATAATACAGTGACTTTACTTTAATTTATAAAATCAGAAATGACAACAGCAGCAGTAGCAGACAGAGACCATGATTAATATTCAGGCCATATTTACATCTCCAGAAAAAGCACGCCTCTCCCAGCGATATTTATCTCTGGGTTGAAATCCTCTGTTTCTACATGTGACTTTTTACCATGAAAGCAGTTTCAATGGTTAATTTATTTGTTATTTCTAACATTGCTTTAAATTTCAGGTTTATTTGTTACTTCAAATATTTTGTTCATTTTAAGGAAGATTCTTAAATGAATTCATGAATGATATTTTTGTATTTATTTATTTCTTCTGATTTTTTTTACAATCAGCCTATTTACAGCATGGAGAATGAAGAGAAAATAGAACATTTTTTGTCCTGATTGTTGAAAGAAAACAGCGAAGGAAATAAGAAGAAATTTAAAGAAATAGCACCAAAATAAGCAAAAATATAACAAATCAGTCATTCTCAATCTAGATGTTTGACTGATGTACATGAAAGTCACAACTTGAGGTGTGACTGATTACAGGTAAGTCACAACTTGAGGTGTGACTGATTACAGGTCAGTCACATCTTCAGGTGTGACTGATTACAGGTAAGTCACCTCTTCAGGTGTGACTGATTACAGGTAAGTCACAATTTCAGGTGTGACTGATTACAGGTAAGTCACAATTTCAGGTGTGACTGATTACAGGTAAGTCACATCTTCAGGTGTTACTGATTACAGGTAAGTCACCTCTTTAGGTGTGACTGATTACAGGTAAGTCACAATTTCAGGTGTGACTGATTACAGGTAAGTCACAATTTCAGGTGTGACTGATTATAGGTAAGTCACATCTTCAGGTGTGACTGATACAGGTTAGTTATATCTTCAGGTGTGACTGATTACAGGTTAGTCACATCTTCAGGTGTAACTGATTTTAGGTCAGTCACCTCTGCAGGTGTGATTGTTATACAGACAATTTATAAGTCACCTCTAGAGGTGAGGTACACAACTTAGTAGTCCTATAGAAAAATGTAAGATGGAAACTATTATCACACAAAGTTCATACAGCAACACAAGGCTGAAAATTTACTTGAAAATTCATCTTCATCTTCTGAGTCTGCATTCGCCTCAGCTGCAAGTTCTGCTGGTGTCTTTTTCTTCCTCCCTAGCCGCCCATCTGCGTCTTCCTGCAAAAGAGTGCTGGGATCGACTTCTGGTTCCTTCTTCTTGATTCCGTACTGTAACAGTCAAATATCACTCCATTTAAATTCTCCATGCAAAAATATGGTTCAGTATTTAAATTTTGTAAAGCAATTTTCAAACCGAGACAATGTATGACTGAGGTAAACCACAAGCTGCCTGGATTGATTAGCTAGAGACTAAATTCAATATTCCAGCACTTTTGCATGGATCAATCTGTTCAAATTCTCACAGCAATATATGGAGTAGTGACATTAACCAAATGCAATATTTATGAACCTGAGTACATTAAGGCCAATACCAAAAGACCAGTATAGACTGAGGCTACGTGTGTACTCTACATCATCCTATGGTGCTGTTCCCTACTGTACCCTATCTGACAGTGTTGTTCCCTATTGTACCCTATCTGACAGTGTTGTTCCCTACTGTACCTGATCCTACAGTGTTGTTCCCTACTGTACCCTATCTGACAGTGTTGTTCCCTACTGTACCCTATCTGATAGTGTTGTTCCCTACTGTAACTTATCCTACAGTGTTGTTCCCTACTGTATCCTATCTGAAAGTGTTGTTCCCTACTGTACCCTATCTGACATTGTTGTTCCATACTGTACCCTATCTGACATTGTTGTTCCATACTGCACCTTATCTGACAGTGTTGTTCCCTATTGTACCTGATCTGGGAGCATTACTTCGTCCTGTACCTTATCTGACAGTGTTGTTCCATACTTTACCTTATCCTACAGTGTTGTTCCCTATTGTACCTTATCCTACAGTGTTTGTTCCCTACTGTACCCTATCTGACAGTGTTGTACCCTACTGTACCTTATCCTACAGTGTTGTTCCATACTGCACCTTATCTGACAGTGTTTTCCCTATTGTACCTGATCTGGGAGCATTACTACGTACTGTACCTTATCTGACAGTGTTGTTCCATACTTTACCTTATCCTACAGTGTTGTTCCCTATTGTACCTTATCCTACAGTGTTTGTTCCCTACTGTACCCTATCTGACAGTGTTGTTCCCTACTGTACATTATGCTACAGTGTTGTTCCCTACTGTACCCTATCTGACAGTGTTGTTCCCTACTGTACCCTATCTGACAGTGTTGTTCCCTACTGTACCCTATCTGACAGTGTTGTTCCCTACTGTACCCTATCTGACAGTGTTGTTCCCTACTGTACCCTATCTGACAGTGTTGTTCCCTACTGTACCCTATCTGACAGTGTTGTTCCCTACTGTACCCTATCTGACAGTGTTGTTCCCTACTGTACCCTATCTGACAGTGTTGTTCCCTACTGTACCCTATCTGACAGTGTTGTTCCCTACTGTACCCTATCTGACAGTGTTGTTCCCTACTGTACCCTATCTGACAGTGTTGTTCCCTACTGTACCCTATCTGACAGTGTTGTTCCCTACTGTACCCTATCTGATAGTGTTGTTCCCTACTGTACCTTATCCTACAGTGTTGTTCCCTACTGTATCCTATCTGAAAGTGTTGTTCCCTACTGTACCCTATCTGACATTGTTGTTCCATACTGTACCCTATCTGACATTGTTGTTCCATACTGCACCTTATCTGACAGTGTTGTTCCCTATTGTACCTGATCTGGGAGCATTACTTCATACTGTACCTTATCTGACAGTGTTGTTCCCTACTGCACCTTATCCTACAGTGTTGTTTCCTATTGTACCTGATCTGCGAGCATTATTTCGTACTGTACCTTATCCCGAATGCCTTGTCGAATATCCTCCCTTTCCTCTTCCATCTTTCTGTGTTTTTCCTTACGCTTTTCCTCTGCCTCTCGGCGCACTTCCTCCATCTCATTCTGTTCCTCTGTATTAGGCCCATCTTCTGCTGCTTCTCCTCCCTCTCCACCCTCCTTGTCACCCATAGCACCTAAACACACAAAACAGGGTGAGCGCGGGCCACCAACACTTCCTACTCCCTTTCTCAAGAACCTGACCACTCAAACTGTTTTCTTTCTTAAACAAACCCTTCGATAAAGAAACTATTCCTCCTGCACCAGCAACGGAAACAATTTTTCTCTGAATTCCTGGAGGAGTCAACTTTCCCTTGTACCTGCATAGTACAAATTACTCCTATCTTTATAGTCAAAATGAAAAATAAGTTGCTAAGCTGCCTAAGGTACCAATCAAGTGTTATAAGTTTCATAAATATTGGCATAGGAAATAAGTAGCAGTTCTTTGGACTAAAATTATCCAGAATTCTGAAGAGGATCATATCTCCGCTCCAAATAGTTAAAATAAAAAATATGTCTGAACTGCCTGGGGAACTGATCATATGTACCACATAAATACAGGAGAGGAAGGTAAGTACAGGTAAGTACAGGTAACGAAGTCGACCACAGCAACCAGACACCAAGGGGACCAACAAATGGGGTTACAGGTAGATAACCATCTCGTTATACAAAACTCCAGGAAGCATACACCCTGGTTACACAATACCAGTGGGACATGTTTATGTAGCAGAACTTGACTTGGTAAATTTGTCAGCGACCAGGTAGCTCACGTTGGTAGAGCATCTGTCTAGAGTTCGGAGGGACCCTTTTCTAACGTCTAGAGTTCGGAGGGATCCTTTTCTAACGTCTAGAGTTCGGAGGGATCCTTTTCTAATGTCTAGAGTTCGGAGGGACCCTTTTCTAACGTCTGGAGTTCGGAGGGATCCTTTTCTAACGTCTAGAGTTCGGAGGGACCCTTTTCTAATGTCTAGAGCTCGGAGGGACCCTTTTCTAATGTCTAGAGTTTGGAGGGATCCTGGTCTGACGGCTCAGTTCTCTTTTGTTCTGTTACATTACATCGAGACAACTGGTCATAGAATGCTTGTGGGGCTTATAAGGAAAAAATCTGAATTCTCACACTCACAGACACAGAATGCACAAGTATAATTAAAACATAACTGGAAAAATATGTGACTAATACAATTCTAAATAAAAAGAAAGTAATTGAGTGAACTAAGACTATGTGTAAAAACCCAAAATATTGAGTGAATTAAAATTATGTGAAGAAACCCAAAATGTGAAACTGAAGAAGATTCCTGATATAGAATTTGTATTCTATAGACCGGAATTAATAATGTGTAAATGAAACCTTACCTTGTACAGACACTAGTTGGTTACCAACCATCTGTGTCAGGCATATTGCAGCCACAGAGGTAATGGGTAGGTCTCGTGTATATCTATATATATCATATATAAATGGGCATTATATAAGTATATATACATATATAGGGTGACAGTGGCCCTATATCGAGATAAAGCCTTACCTTTTACAGACTTTAGTTGGTTACCAACCATCTGTTTGGCAATAAAAGCAGCCATGTTGATCTCCTGTGATCAGGTTACTCACAAAATTACACACAATTCTCTTCCTCTCGTTTCAGGAGCATTAGATCTGGAAAAAAAATCAGTTTTAATATTGAGACTTTTGTTTAACACAGCTACCATTTCTCCTCAAAACACAATTAACACGAATTAGCAGCTCCAACATCTCGGTCCAAATTTGTGATGGTTATGGATCAGAAACCTTGTGGCACTTATACTGTGCTTAAAATATACCGGTCGTATCAACACCTAAGTACCACACTGTAAATTAAAACATGTGGTACCAACACAACATGAACATGTGGTATCAACATCTAAATACCACGACATAAACATGTGGTATCAACACCTAAATACCACAACATAAACATGTGGTATCAACATCTAAATACCACGACATAAACATGTGGTATCAACATCTAAATACCATGACATAAACATGTGGTATCAACA